TGAGATTAATACTTACAGGATACAGGGCTACAGATGACATATCACCGTCTTTATAAACCAAGTGGCCAATTCAGCCACTGTGGAAGAAAGCTGAGCATCAACAGGAAATGGCAGGAGGAACAAGAGTGTGTTGTAATAGCCATGGTATGCTGTATAATCCTATTGCACGCTTGTTTAACAGCTTCACAACCGTTGTTTCCAAAAGGAAATACTCATTCCATGCAAGTAGTGGAAACACAGGCAGGGCTGATTGATTTTAAATGTGGACAAAAGCACTCAAACAGGCACCAGGGAATCACAATGACTTTGCATGACAATCAGTGCAAACAATGCTGTCAGGGTGGAGATGCCTCTCACTGAGAAACTTTGGTGTGTCAAATTGGCTGATGTGATTGGTGTAACTGTGGAATCTATTTGACAGATCCACTTCAGTGGTCAACATTCAAGCATCGGACTGATGGGGTTGAGTAATATGACATTTTATCCAAAAGTGTACATCATTTTGCTTTGCAGCTCGTAGAAATCAGGACAAGCATTCCAAGTTTTTATAGAAATGTGTCTTTTTTTTTTGGTACTGGTGCATTAATATGAGTAATTCAGATTTTCTTTACAAGGTATTAACAGTATGTTTGCAGTCACACCAGGTCCATTGAGCCAACAGAGGCGCATTTTCTTCTTAAAAAAAAAAAATCTTTGTATTTAAAGATTTTGTGAGCAGGTTTTGACAAACACTGGTAATCTTACAAACCAGGTGTTTTACAACAAAGTGTATTTTCCCACGCACAGCCTAATACATTACTGCAAAAATAGCCTGCACCTGCTGTGACATGGAAACCTGAGCTGTCAGTTGTAACTAAATAGACAGAAGGCCTAATTAACACGAACCTTAAATCCACAAAAAGAAGACCACAAAAATAAAATCAATATGTTATTGTCATCAGTGTTTTCAGACCTGCACTGAAAGTATGTATGCATTTGTTTTTGCTGTTTTTTGGCAGTAATTTTCAAATATTTCCTATGTTGCATTTTTATTTTACACTGAGAAAACTCTACTGAACAGTTCATTTTACTTACTTTGATTCATTTAATTCTATTTGATTGTTGTTCTCCACATTTGCAGAGTGCAGTTTCAGGTGGTTTAAGGCAAAATCTTTTGAACGGGAAATACTGTTTACCTAGCGCGATCATCAGAACTAATAAGTATTGCCTGCATGGCTGTATGCCTCTGTGCCATGGAGCTCCACTGTTGTCCACAAACATTTCATTGAGCCACACTGTTAGACTGTAATTTGAGAAATGTGTGTGAAATTTGTGTTCATCCACAGCTGAAAATAGTCCCCGATAAATGCGCAATTTACAGGCACAGTTTGAGTTCACTAAAAACTGAAATGTCCAACTGTTATAGGAAATCATTTCTCCTTTTTTTATATATATAAATAAATAAAACTAAATATTTATGAGCTATTTTAAAATATTTACATTTTCAGTATAGGAAACATGCGCTTGGGACCCTGAAAAAGCTTGGCACGGCCCTGCTAGTCACCGTCTCACGGTGTGTGTATGTGTCTCTCTCTCTCTCTCTCTCTCTCTCTCGCTCACACACACACACACACACACATTGGACTCAGCAAACACATCGATATTCTCTTCCTCCCTCCTTCTCCATCTCTCTAAGTTACATTTTTTCAGCCGATGCGAGGAGTTTAGTAATGGAGGACTTTGGGTAATTAATCCAACCTTGAGGCGCGTCAAGTAGTTTTGGAGCGACGGAGCTTTTACACCGGCTGAACAACAACTCACATGTGCGCATGTAGCTGCACATTTACCGGCCGGTCAGTGCGTCGTTGCGTTTTGTTGATCAACTGCAAATGAAGTGTTGAAGATCTGTTGCGCGTCGCGGATGAAATGTCAGCGTGGATGTGATTCCTGCACTTCAGAGGTGAGCTGAAACTGCCTCTGTATGTTATATGTTTAATGGCAAACGTTAAAATATGAGTAAAAGTGCTGGTTTCAGGGGTTTAATGCAGATATGGCTTCAGCACAAGTGTTGCATTGTGTTTCCAGGTTTAGAGATGGGGGTGGGTGTTTGTTAATCAATTGCGTCTACTCCATGTGAAGTGTAATTAATGAGAGCTCTGAGGGCAAATCAATAGCGGGAAGTGACTAATCACTGGATCAGGAACAGAGGGCACCGGCTTTCTGTTAAAAGGAAGAGCTTGCTTCCTAGACATGCATCACAATGTGGGTCAAAACTTTAATGTCTTTTAATGAGAGAGTTGGCTCGTGCAAGCTTTAATTAGGCATCTTCACTGTTACTCCAGGCTTATTATGGGTGATTAATGGATGCAATTGATGATGCTGGCTGCAATGATGGAAACCATGAAAGCAACATTCATCTGCATTTTGCAGTATTGTTTAAACTGTGATTTTACATAGGCTTTCTGATCTTAACCTGAACAGCAAATGTCATAGTTGCTCACAGATTTGTAATGGATCAGACTAGTTTTTAAAAGTGCAGAAATAGATACCATAAATTCTATAGACTACTGTTTTTTTTTTTTTAAGGATGCACCTTGTGATTGTAGTCCTTATCAATGAATATACAGATTTTTGAGTCTACAAATGTGAAAACTTCAGATGTCTTCAAATTAATTATGTCCAACACCAAAATATATTCAATTTATGATGATATAAAACAAAAATAAAAGCAGAAAATCCTCACATTTGAAAAGCTGGATCCAGAGAACATTTGCCAATTTTCAGCTTGAAAAATGTTGCTGACTAATTGTCTGTTTAATTACATTAATTGATCGTAGCAGTTTAGGAAATGCTGAGAACGTACATGTGCATCTGTCGAATATATCTTAAATTTGCTCCTGTTACACTTTTATAACGTCTCCTCATCTGAAACCTCTTTTGACTCTCTGAGACGTATCGGCTGCATTTACTACAGATTCATTAGTAGATTGGTCACAAAGTTTGCATTGTCTGTGTTTTGTAAAGGGAACCTTCAGTGGATAAACATTGTAAATATGTAGGATGCCACGCAGGCCAAACACTGGCATCTGCTCCCTGCTAATGAGATCTCATCAAGACTGACAGGGAGTATCAATCTCACTGTCAGTTTGGCTCCAAATGTAGCTGTCCACGGCCTCGCTCTTGATACGCAAATAACCGAGATCCACATTACAGTGTTGACTTTGATATGAGTCTGAATGAATCATATCGGAATCTTAATGTCTGTCAAAACAATCGTGATATGATTTTGTCAAATCTTGTCTAATTTTTTTGTTTTTACCTTCAGAGTTTTTGTATAATCTCATTCTGGTGATTTGAACTTCACTTTGCATAGTGCCTCTTTTGGTTTCTATCATAAAACAGTTTATGTCTCAATTTCTGCTTCATTTCAAGTCACTGGGACTTCATATTGTTAAACCTGATCCCTTCGCTGTCCTTTCATGTTGTGTTGTAGGAGTCTATAAATAATTTCTGTATGCAACACGCAGATCTCATCCTGTGATACAATCAATGGGGCAGGGCCCCTGTGGTCAAACTCATGAATAATTTAACCATTGTGTGACACCCCGTTCGTCTCTTAATAGTTCATCTCTTCCTATAATAGACCAGGTACATCCCTGTGAAATGCCACGAGTCTGTGTTTGTTTGTTTGTTTGTTGTTTGTTTGTTTGACCTTAACAAAGCTGAAGTGGCGCTGTGCACATGGTTCTGTTGTCATAGTAATCACTGCAGCAGGATTCGTTATGTGAAACAGGTCCAGACCCTCCACTCCAATCTGTCCGATATCACATGACAGCAGAGTGCTTGTGGCCATTATCCACAAGTCGAGGCAGGATAGCTGAGCCTGCCTCTAATGGAAGACACTCTGCCCAGATATATAAACAATTTCTTTTGATTTATTACTGGAGTTAAAAGGGCAGTGTGTGCATTCAAAAGTGCCATATTTTTAGAGACACCTAGTGGTTTGGTTCAAGTAATTTACGATGTCATCCAAGGACATTTCAGGTCAGTGCTGTGTTAGATACCAGGATGTCAGACGTTGCTTGGAGCTTTGCTCTAAAGTCACTTTCCATTCCAAAACGTTTCATCATTGTTTACTTCAATTGGATGTTTGACCTTCGCTGTGTGTGTGTGTGTGTGTGTGTGTGTGTGTGTGTGTGTGTGTGTGTGTGTGTGTGGGGTTTAATGCCCGAAGAATGTTTTCACATTCAGCTGCTGAACGGAAGAATGTTTCTCTGCGTTCACTTTCAATCTGAGTTTGATGATTTTGTGACAATCAGAGTCCAGTATGCAACTTGCACAAGTGTGATGTGGAGACTTGAAGCCTCCAGCACACAGACAAGGCCTGTGTATTGGCAAGAATCTGGGGTTACAATACATATCACGATACAGGATTACAATACTGTAAGCAAGGCGAATTATTGCAATTTTAAAAAAATCACCACCATATGAATAAAATTTGGGTTTTTTTGTAACCAGAGCATTGGTATTTGCATTTGTATTTATCACAGTCCCTATAACATCCAACACCAAAGCCCTCAGTTTACAGCTATCTAATTCTTGGGAGTTGAAACACAAATCGATACAATATCACAAAACGAAATACTGCGATCCTCATATTGATATTTTTTCTACACCGCCAGCACAAACAGTACACTTAAAATGATAATATAATATTTGCACATTTAAAGATTCTCGATATTTCATAGGGGGTAGATGCAATTTTAAGAATTTATAGTTGTGGGAAAACATTATTATTCCTAGCATGCATGGAAAACATGTCTGGAGGGGATCTTTAACTTCTTTTTAAAAACTTTAAAAACCTCAGCATACGCAGAAATACTAATGATTTCTCTTTACTGTGTCAGACAGTTTGAGTCTCTAACTTTAACTACGACTGTTTTCCACTAGAAAGTCTTTGACCACTATTTGCAGGATAATGTAAACAATCATCTATGTTTCTGCCTCTTATATTTGAACAGGGGGAGACAGAGAGCGGATGACAGCCAACCATGAGACCTACCTTCTTATGGCCAGCACCCAGAATGACATGGAGGATTGGGTGAAGACGATCCGCAGGGTCATCTGGGCACCTTTTGGTGGAGGTCAGCATACACACAAACTTTGTTTTTATTAGCTGAATAACTTGTTGATCTGAATGTGGTTTGTTTGTTTAGCCAGTGTGGCGTTCAGATGGATGACTTCCAGTTTCCAGTAGCAGGAGAATTGATCAGTGTTTGTATTCAATCTGTGAGCGAGCTACCATCTCACCACCATTTCTGCTCAAGGCTCAACCCCCTCAAACTGCTGACTGTGGGCTCTGATCCCGCTGACAAAATGCATCCTTTATGTGCAGACTGTGTTTAACTAAGGACTGAAAGCACAAACATTAGTTAGCTTATGCACAATGATAACAGTGTAGCTTAAATCCATTTGTGGGTGCATGAGAGACAGGACGTAGCAGTTAGTTCCAGGTACAATACCGCATTTACTCCCAAGATGCAAACACATGTGCATGTATTACCATTCTGTATTGTTATTGTAATTGTATTGTCATTTTAAACAGAGGAGGAATAGTTGCCAATATTTTTTATAAGTCTGTTCCCAGGTAAAGCAACAGTTTGCCTCCTTCTTTTCTCCTACATGTTTTACTCCACATGTTGGTTGCATCACTGCAATACTTAACATCACCATGACAAGATGTATAAACAGTTTTTATTATAGGACTGTTTGCTTTGTCTTTTAGATTGTGAAATCCAAAACAGCTCACTGACTTGAATCTCCAATCTCATGTGATCCTGAATGTTTGTTTTCGCTTCCTATCCAGCCCGTTCATGCTAATAAACAATGTTAAAATCAATTACATGCGCCAAATAAACCAACAAAAATGGAGATGCTCATCAAATATACTGTGATTCATAGCAGAAGTGCATGACGTTGTTCTCATGAAGTTGTTCCCGACTTTGGTGGGATCAGTGTGCTGATTACTGGGTCTCCTACTGCGCCGCTATGGCTTGTTATTGACTTTACTGGCAGACATTGGCCTACATTGTGTATGAGCGGGGCACAAGTGCGGCGTTTGTAACCGGACAGGCAGTTCAGGCAGCTCTCGGTGACACAGTGAATAGAGAGGCTGAGCTGGCCCCTCTGTTTTCAGTGCAGGGAGTTTGATGTCTATTGCAGTTGACTGCTCTTCAAAAGGACGAGCCATTTGTCAAAGATGCCACAAGAAAGGTGGCTCCAAGTTGGAGCGGAGCCGGGGCTTTCTCTCCCACACACATAAATAAACAGAGCGTGTGCGTGCACACACACACACACACACACACACACACACACACACACACACACACACACACACACACACATATTCCAGGCTTTCACATTTTGCAGTAGCAGCAGAGAAAACTGAGCCCTGATTGGCTGGTTAGTGCCCCTGAAGTGCGATTAAAAATTCAGTTCAGAGTGACAGACAGGGAGGGAGCTCCCAAAACGAAGCTCCTGTGTTTGACCCACAGAAGAGCTCTGAGCCCCTGATGGGTTTGCTGTCATGTTGTTCTGAACACTTGCTATGATGTTGAATTAATTACTGGCCAGCTTGAACAAACAGTTGGACAAGAGTTTGAAGTCAGACCTTTGAGAAATGTGCAGCTGTGGCCTCTCCATCTGGATCTTTGGAGATTTATTTCATGGTAATTACAAATTGTTTTAATTTGAGCTGTTGTAACTGTTGCTGCTGTTTGATTAATGCTCTGTAGGAAATTAAAAAAGACTAAACTCTTCTTAATTTTAAAACTGTATTTATATGTAGCTGTAGCTTATATGGGATATTTTCCAAACTGTTTTGTTGATTTTACTTATTTTTGTGTTATGGTTGTGGTGCAGTGAAATTCAGTAATGGCAGAAGTCATGATAATAACTCTCAAATATGAGCTGTGATTTCAGCCTGGTTGAACTGATCTGATATAGCTCATATTCTGTCTACATCATTAATTAAAAAGGTGGCAAGCCATCCACTCACCCATAGTGATTTCTTGTATTTTTAACATTTAATTTCCACGTATATAAGACTGAGAGGCTTCATATACAGTAGCTGTCTATGAACATTGTGATAAAATTATGTAAATCTCACTCCAAATATTTAAACATAAGCGTTACCTTAGCTTCACATGAATAAAACGTGTTCTGGTAAATTGAATTGTTAACTAATTTATCTTGAATAATGTCTGTCTGTGTTATTGCTATTTGTTGTATTTTGAGTGACATGTCATATGCAGTGTTCTCACATGTTGCAAGATTTAAATGTTAATTTTAATGCAGTCCAGTATCTGTTCTATTGCATGCATTTCAGTGCCAAATAGCAGCGATGCTCAATGTTTGATCATTGTATAAAGCCTTCCTCTAAGTCATCATAGTAACATTTAATAACATTTTCCTCATCTTTACATTAAATCATCTCTCCTCCTTCGGATGTGCTTTGGTGGAGGAACTGCTTTGTGCATTTGTTTTGGTCACTGCATAATCTGTGTATAGTTAGTTGTCACTGTATATCTCTAAGAATATGTAACAATAGAATTTAGTAAAGTTAGCATGGCATTAATAAATAACACATATGTCACATAATGTCATATTTGAGGAACATTCATCTCTTACAACACAGAAGAATCAAAGAAAGGGAAGCGGCGATAGGAAGCCCAAGGGGTAAATCAGACTGTGTTGTGTCTGGACTTCTGTCCCTGTGTGTCTTTTTGTGTGTGTGCGTGTGTGTGTGCAGCAGTCAGTCTGTGTAGTTGACAGAACCTGAGAGTGTTGAAAGAACCTGCTGAGTGCTCTGAGAACGGAGGTGTTGCCCTTATGTGCCTTTTGTGGTTGGACCCGTTCCAGTGGGAACAGCAAACATCCATATAAACAAATGCACACACTCTGGATAAGCTGGTACACACACACACACACACACACACACACAGTTACATGTGACCCCGGGAAAACATTCCTAGACTCATGACCAGAACGTCTGGAGGGGATGACCTCGTTTTTAAACCAGTCACTTTTTCTCATTTGTTCTCTGATGCTCTTTTTGATTCGTGCGGATATTCATCATTCTTTACTCTGGGGGAGCTTCACTCATTTTTGATTTCGCTCTGATCCGTCTAAGATTTGGAAAATGCATACACAGCTTCAGATATTTCTTGGGAATTTGTGGCTGTTTACTGTTTTGTCTTATTTGGGTTGCTGTAAAGATTGAAGTGGAAAAGTCCCTGAAGTGACTGAACCAGAGGAGAGAGAGCAGAACACAAGACTCCACTGTTAGCTTCTGATCAGCTTCTTTTTAGAAAAACATGACTGACTTGCTCTCAAACTGATGCATCCTCTTTTATTTAATTTCATAGCTGCAAAAGCTGAGGCTGGTGTTTGGAAAATGCTAAAATGCAGGCACTTCATATTCTGCACTGCTGGTTTGTTATCTTATCACAAATTTATTAATAGGCGTTTCTTCCGGAAGCTTACAAGTTGTGTCCGTTTCAAGAGGGGTGAGTATGACAGCATACCATGTTATTAGTGATAAAGCAATTATATATCACTGCATGCATTTGGGTATAAGGAAAAATGTATTGAAGCACATGCATCAGTTTACTATTAAAGCCACGTTAGAATTTATGTGATGTGAATATACACCTGTACAAAAATACTGATTTTAAAGTACAGTTTACATTAAAGCAGTATTATGTAACTATTCTTGCTTAAAAAGGTCCAGTGTGTAACATTCAGGAGGATCTATTGGCAGAAATTTAATATAATATTCATAGGTATGTTTTCATTAGTGTATGATCACCTGAAAAAGTTTTTGTTACCTTTTAGAATGAACTTCTGCCAAGTTGAACTGCCATGTTTCTACAGTAGTCCAGAAAGGACAAACTAAACACTAGCACTAGATAAGCAGCTGTTGTGTTTTTCATGCATTTCGTGGTCAGCGTAGTTTCTCCTTCACGCCCGAAAGGCGAGAGTGGCAATCTGCAACCGCTAGCTGCCACCAAATCCTACTCACTGAGTAAACTATAAAACAACAACGATGCTACAATGGTTTGTTATAGAGGGAATAGTGCCTCTGTTATTCCGACTCTACTCCCTGTAAACCTGTTCTTGCACTGTCAAACTTTGGGGTCCAGGTTTGGACACTTTATGGCAGTAAGTCACACACCATGAACTGTGTCACTAATTTTGGTGAAACTGGATCAACTTAACTGCTAACTGTAACTTGTCTGCCATTAGCTGGTTAATTCAGTCAGCTGGATTGGGAGGTCATTGGACATTGGACTGGTCAGGGATTGTTGGTGTTTACACCTCTAGCACAGGAGTGTTGGACCACTGGGAGATAGAGATAGAGTTTTCTGATGGGGAGCGGAGCCGGCGTTGTGCCAGAACCAGAGCTGGGTAACTGGGTAATGTAATGCTCAGCAGCCTCTTTGGACATCATGGCAGAGGTGAAGAGACCAAAGAAGACGTTGACGAAATAAGCCAAGAAGCCAAGAAGAAAGAGTGACCAAGCAAGTGGCCGCTGGACAAGTTTAAATCGTGGACTGGTTTTTTTAGTTGTTGGCAAGAGCTTTGTGAATTAAAAGATGCTGAGCTGGCCTTCTTGCTGATGGACTACTAAGTAATATTAGCTGGCTTGCTACATCTTGTGTTGTTGCACTTGCTTGGTGTTTGATGGTTTTAGAAAAGTTGTGGACTTGCTAGTTTTGGATCATAAGTAATGTAATCATAACAAGCCAAGTAAAGCTGTCCATATTTACGACAGGGGTGTATATGGGAATTGCACTCTGAAACTTGTGCCAAAACGCAAAAAAAAACCCCAGTTCTTACATAATGTTGCTTTAACACCGGTTGTCGGTTGTTTTTAAGATACATTTCTTGCTGTGTCAAATGCTGTTAAAAGCACGAGGACCCTAGTAAGCTCAGTCTAATTCAGTCACTGTATGGTACCCTGTCGTACCACGTGTATGCATGTGTGTGAGTAGCCTCTGTCTGTATCTGGAGACCGGAAAACTATGCAGATCCAAATCTCTCAGGAAGGCTGCCTTAATCCCCTCTTGTGTTGCATCCACATGAGACGGCTGCAAATGGAAATCAGTCTTTTTTTTTTTTTTGACCGCTTCAGACAAAAGGCGAGGGGTGCTCAGCAGGAAGTTAGAGATTTGATCATCAGACTAAGGCTTTGTGGGTGTACATATTTTTTGCTTGGGCTGTCTATTCGGCCTTATCAGAATGGGTTTTTTTTCCAATCGATTTAACTGCTCTCTTTGATGTGCCTCAAGCTGCGGATGCGAGGCCAATGTTTTTTTTTTCTAAAGCTTTGAAAAATGCTCCTTTCCCTTTGGGAGAGAAAGTTAAATAGTGTGGGATATTAAACAGTATTAATATTTCAAATTATAAACCATAAGTCATTTTAGAATCTTACCCTAAATCATTTAGCTGTAAAGAGAGAACCAAATTATATATCTAAGTGTGATTTAAAAAAAACCTTATTAAGCTGGAGTCACTGCTCTCAGCTTCTTTGGTATGTTGAACTCTCCTATTATAAAGGTTGTCATGAAGAAATGTTCAGAAATTGGGTTAAAAACAATACTGATTTCTTTCAGCACTGTCATTTATCAATCTTAAGCCATTATTAAACATTTTGTCTTGTGTTTCAGGGATCTTTGGTCAGAAGTTGGAGGAAACCGTGCGGTATGAACGCCGCTTTGGGAACAAGCTTGCCCCTATGCTGGTGGAGCAGTGTGTGGATTTCATTCGGCAGTGGGGCCTTCGGGAGGAGGGTCTATTCAGGCTGCCAGGACAAGCCAACCTGGTCAAGGAGCTGCAGGATGCCTTCGACTGTGGAGAAAAACCTTCTTTCGATTGGTAGGGGAACACATAAGCGTCGTGGCTGCTTGGGTTTCCTCAGTGCATTTTAATGGTGATATATTCTGACCGTTGACTGGTCAAGTTCTGCACCTCTGAAACCAAATCGGTCCAGAACTTTACAAAACGAGCCTTTAATGGATAAATGTTTTCAATACCTGTTTCATATATCTGAAACCTGCATCACACAACAAAGACATTAGGACATCAGTGCAGCATTGTAAAACAGCAGTACAAAACAGTGATGTAATATCTTTTTCACAGCACTTTGATATGTGATAGCAAGGAAAGCACAGGTGTAATCAATCAGGGTAACAAGGAACACATTCCATGTTGTGGTGCCTGCCGACTCACTGAGATACATGAATCAGTCGTTCATTTTATTAGCTCCACCTGTGATTATCCTGCCATGACAAGTCAAGAGGAAAGGATTAGACCTCCTGCCTGGGTGATAAAAGGGGGATAAAAGTTTTCAGTGATATTTGTACTATCAGCCACTGTCTAACGGTCCAAACCCTGTGCCTCCTTTATGAAGCAGTTAATACTCAAACAAAGGGGGGGTTGAATAAAAGTAGATGGGGAGATGCACCCAATTAATTGCGATAGCTTCTTCCATTTAGCTCACCTGGTAGAGCACCATGTAGGTTTCCTGCAGTCCTCACTGCAGCAGCACGGGTTCGATTCCAACGTGCGGCTCTTTGCTGCATTTCAAAATAGCCCAAAATTGTTTAAAAATCTCTCCATTGCCGTGTTGCAGTTAAACGTGATGTAAAAATGCACACAGATATACTTTGTCCTTGCATGCAAATCCATTCTTAGTGGTAGACTGACATAACACTGTTTTTAAATGCTGGCTGTGACTAGCAGATAAAACAAGTGAAAACACTGGCGTAAGTGGTCAGGATAAAACTAAAAAATATATAATTGTCCAGATATCAGTGGGGGAAAAAAAAAAATTAAAATGTGAAGTGTCTCTAAACACTAACACTGTTTTTCCCTTTTCCCACAATTGAATATTTTAGTGTCACTGTGCAGAATGATGTGCAGAGTTTGACACTAGAAGGATGTTTTCACATTCTTAATCCATGTCTGGAGGGGATCTTTAAAAACGTAACATTTTTTGTGAAGGCGAGGCATAACATTCACATTTTACACAATAATAGGTCTACAAAATAGTACAAACTAAATTACAATCTGCCTCCATATTATGGGTTGTGTAGGTGGCTGTACTCAAAGACTAAGAGCTGTTTTTTTTTTTTTAAATGTGCAAACCATCTATAACTCAGGATGACAGAGGAATGCATGAGTGATGGAACATACCACCTCCACATCTCTTCTCCACTCTTCCTCCTTCTTCCACTCAATCTGCCTCTCCCACCATGTACTCTGATGACCATAAATAAACCTTAGATAGAAATGTCAGGATCCAGGCTATACATCACACCTTACCACTTCCTAGACACACAAGATACAAAATCACTCTCAGAAGTGCCACCATTACTGTATGTTGGCTGCACAATGACACATCTCTGCCCTCCTACCTCTGCTTTAACTCATCTTATGTTGCTCAGTGGCAACGACTACGCCCTCCTCTGTGCCTGCCTATGTCTGATTTTTGTTCCTAACTGTCCCTTAACATGCTGATTCCCTCATTAGCCTTTGTAACCTCCCGCCTGCCTCACCAGCTGCCCCTCGTTGGCTCATTACCGTCTCTGAGCCGACAGTGGAAATCCTCTTGCCTTTTGGCAGATCATCTAAGCTGCCCCAGTGTTCCCTCTCTGGCTTTTGTTGTTACCTGACTGCCTTTCTGTTGCTTGTGTCCTGTTTGCTGGCTTTAGTTGGCCTTATCCTCCCCCTTCTTTTGATTTGTTGTGTTTCACAAATTAAAGTGCTCTCTGTTTTCTCTGTCGTATGGTATTTCTATTCTTTTTCCTTTTGATTTCCACCTATCCCAAACTTTCCTCTTTGCTGCATGAGTATCCATCATGATTTGTGTTTGCGTCTGTGCCATGTACCCATTATATCTTCAACCCTCCCCCTATTTCTACCCATGTCTTTCTCTGCAGTAACACAGATGTGCATACAGTAGCCTCTCTACTGAAGCTGTACCTCAGAGAGCTGCCGGAGCCCGTCATCCCCTTCCACAAGTATGATGAGTTTCTGGCCTGTGCCAAGCTTCTCAGCAAAGATGATGAAATGGTAAGAAAGAGCACTTGAGATGGGTTTCTCTTCACCTATATGTACAGAAGGGTCCCCCCTCCCCCACTTTCTCCCCCTAAATAAAAATTTATTAAAAAAAAAATAAAAAAAAAAAAAAAAGGCCCCCCCCCCCCCCCCCCCCCCCTCCTCTTTCTCCCCCTTTACTTTTGGCCCCCCCCCTAAAAACAAAAAAAAAAAAAAAGAAAAACATAAAAACATGGGGGTGTGTGTGGGGGGGGGGGGGGGGGGGGGGGGGGGGGGGTGTGTGTGTGTTTGGGGGTGGTGGGTGTGGGTGGGGGGGTGTGTGGGGGGGGGGGGGGGGGGGGGGGGGGAAAAAAAAAAAGAGAAGACTTCACATTTCTGTCTTTGTGTATGCATGTGTGTTCTTGCATGTAATTCCAGAAATGTGTTTGAACACGTCAAGTATAGATCAGAGGTTCCCAACTTTTCAAAGCGCTTTGGACTTAAGAAGGAACACAGTGAGCAGAATTCACAATATGCCTTTTTGGTTTAAAGTTATTCACCAGGAACTGCTTAATATTCATTTATGTGATTCATTTTTTACTTTCATGTTTTTGTAATTTTTATAGTAGTTAAAGCAGCAACAGAGAACCTTTTTTCCTTTCCCTGTTTTGTGGATTCTGGCGGCCACTATGGACAAAAAGCAGTAGTGTTTCTACCATCTTGTTCCATTGATTTCAAGGGGAATCGGACCGAATCCGACCCAGTGGCAGGCATTAAGAATAACTAGTAACAGCCTGTCTTCTCTCTTATGGTCTTGTGTGCTTATGTATCTCATGTGCAGGCATCAGTATTACACTGAGACTGTTTGCTAACCACTCCCTGTAGTACATTTAAAATCCTCTCATGAAGACAAAAATGCTTCCTTGTGACAGTAGAGTAAACATACCTTTTAAGAAAGTGATTGGAATTATTTATCACTCATTGTTTTTGGATGATAAATGAATAAATGAATTCATGTATAATGTTATTAACTCTTTTTTTGAATTGTTTTGTTCTGTTAAAATATCTATCATTGCCCTCATAAAAATCTTTTAATGAGCCCGATGAATTGCTGAGTGAAACATGTTTTTCTGACTTAATGTTCATCTTGCAGTGGCCAGTTTCTCAAGTTCTGTAATACACAAAGCTTTTATTTCTGTTTTTCACTGATTTTGTTTTGGTCTGTATTTGGTCTGTAGGTGTGATTTGTTATATTTCATATGCTGTAAATTACCCATTCATCATAACTTGAATTGATAGGAATTTGTTGTTTCCTGATTTTAACTTATGTAAATCCTCTGCAGGGTTTGAAGGAGTTGAGAAGGCTTGTTGAATGTCTACCTCCAGTGAACTACAACCTACTCAAGTACATCTGCAGGTATTAATTGGTTGTTAAAGTGGATGTAATTTCACATTGTGTGCATTACTGAACAGTGAAAAGATGATAGTTTCCTGTTTGCCAGATTTCTAGATGAAGTCCAGTCATATTCAGGAGTGAATAAAATGAGCGTCCAAAACTTGGCCACAGTCTTTGGGCCAAATATCTTAAGGCCGAAGGTTGAGGATCCAGTAGCTATTATGGAAGGTCAGTATTCATGCAAATCATGTCCTATTTTCTGACATTTTGTTTTAATCTTGAGCTAATGATGTGTGGTCTCATGTTGTCAGGTACTGTTCTGGTCCAGCAGCTCATGGCTGTTTTAATTGGCCGCCATGATGTGCTATTCCCTCGCGATGAGGACAGCCCCACAGCTCTCGAGCTTGTCAACAACAACATCGAACTACAGCGGCGACAAGCCACCACAACTACCTCCGCCATCACTACAGTGTCTCAGAATGCAGAGAACAACAACACGCAGGTGGTGCGGCAGTGTGTTTGGGAAGCACCTGAATCTCCTTCGCACCGCCAGCATGTTGACAACAGTGGCTCCCCACGATCAGCTAGCCCTCGTAATGGTGTCATAGGACGCTTTGACATCACCCGCAGTCCACCACTGACTGTCAAAAAGAACCCAGCTTTCAGCAAAGGCAGTGGGATCGTTACAAACGGCTCCTTCAGCTCCTCGCCCTCCTCAGACCCCAATCAAGAAAAGAGCCAGACTTTGACTGGAGGTGGAAGTTTGCCAGTGCGGCGCAGTGGGACGCTCAAAGGGTCCGGCACAAAAATGGGCACCAGTGGTGTTACCAGTGGAAGCAGCACCGGAGGGAATGGGACTGGAGCTGTGCGCATGGGCATTTCTGGCTCTGATGTGGTCACAGGGAGTCTGAACGGCCGCAATGGTCTTTGGGTACCAAATGGCTGTGTCACGTTACGCGAGAACAACAAAACACGTGACTGCTCCAATGGGGATCAAATAACCAATCAAAACCGCCTGTCCACGTATGACAATGTCCAGTTAAACCATCAGAACCTGCACCAGCAGAACCAGATCACCAACACGTGTCTGAACAGCAGCTGTGAGGACAAGCAGAGTGTAGACAGCGCCACGTGGTCCACCTCCTCCTGTGAAATCTCTCTTCCTGACAACTCCACTTCCTGTCGCTCCTCCACCACCACCTGCCCTGAACAGGACTTCTATGGAGGTCACTATGAAGACCTGGATGGACAAGCACAGGATAATGAGCCAGCCCAGTCCGGTGGAGGAGGAGAGAGGGAGGGCAGAAACAGCAACAGAGAAGGAAGTGGAGATGGAGCAGGGAGGAGCAGTCGTGGCACCAGCAGTAGTGATAATAGTGATTGTTTCACTGGTGGTAATGGAACCGGCAGTCACAGTGCTCTGCACAGCTTAGTGGCCAGTCTTAAACAGGAGATGCACAAGCAGAAGACCGAGTACGAGGCCAGGATAAAGAGGTAGGGTCTCATCTGTGAAAAATTGTTTTCTGATGACATAAGAAAGATAAATTATACCTATAGTTCTATAATTTGGCAAGCAACTTTGTATCTACATCATTATATTGTGACATATACATATCAATGAATACATACCATACACTCAGTTACCAGTTTGTTAGGTACAGTAAGGTAAAACTAACGCAGTCTAAAGCAACAGCCATGCAATAAATACAACCACTTCAACATCGACACTTCTCTAAAACGGGTTAAAAGAAATTAATATTGTAACCTTAAACCTAACTAAAAGGTATTTGTTGTAGGGCTTTTGCATTAAACTGCATGCGTTTTAGCTAGGTATACCTAATTAATTGGCCATTGGAGCGAATAACGATATCAAGAGATAATGTTACTTGTAGAAGTTAGCTATTGTTAAGTCTTACATCTTTTTAAAGTTGCTGTAACAAAACAGCACGGGATGTGGTGTGATAAACTTCTTGAAACAGAACGTCCTGTATGAAGCATTGATTGAACAGATATTCCAAACCTCCTAAACACTTGAGAAATGATGACTTAAGCCGCGGTATGAAATTCATTAAACTGATTAACTACAGCTGTTATCCACTTCTCCTGACCCTGGGTTAACCTCCTTTGCAGCTTGGAGCAGCGTAACCTGGAGCTGGAGACCGAAATGGTAAGCCTCCATGAAGAGCTGGACCAGGAGAGGAAGAAGTACACAATGGCGGAGATCAAGCTGCGCAACGCCGAGCGCGCCAAGGACGACGCTGAGCGGCGAAATCAGACGCTGCAGAAAGAGATGGAACAGTTTTTCTCCACGTTTAGTGACCTCACTGCAACTGGCACCACCACAGCCGCCGACCCCCGCCGACCAGATCATAACAGCACCATCTGGATACAGTGAAGGAAGGGGGGGATTGGGGCTGTAATGTCAGTGCAGACTGGAAACGGTTTATTATGTGATGTGAACATTACGAGGGCTCCAAACAGGATTTGGCTGCTGGTTGTAGAGGGACAGTTGGGAAGTTACATTGCAAAGGATGCAAGCATGTTTTAATTTAAGAAATAGGAGGTGTAGGGCTAATTAAAGCCACCTGTATAAAAGTACATATCACCTGGAGTGATGCCCGACTGACATTATCTGTAAATACAGCATTATTTAAACACTCTCCAACCTACTCAAAAACTGGTGGTAATCATCTGAGTGGAGCAAAGGCACAGTACACCATAGTCTACGATGATACACAGTTGTACTATTATTTTACTTTGGCTCCTAGAGCCATAATTGGACGGAAAGAAAAACATTAATGGTTATATTCAGTAACAAAAATTAGAAAATAAATACCAGCCGTGGACATGAAAACACAAAGACAATGCAAAAACTCCTCCCTATCTTAATTCACTTTTAAAATCTAACCAAAAACATGTTATTGTTCCATGTATCTCTGTATCTGCTCATGTACATAGTGGGAAACAATGCAGAAAAACACAGTGTCGTATGTATGTAAAAAGAAAAGTAATACGTAAATGTTTATCTGATATTTAAGCAAAGTTATCAACTTGTGATATTTTATATTAAGATTTTTTCCTTGCACTTACATGTTTGTTTAGTCTCTGCAAGGTGGTACTGAATGTTCTGTCGGTCAATGTGTGTACCATTTAAATTGGACAATATACTGTATATGTGCCTGTGCTTCTGTGCTGTTTCATTTACCCCATGACCAAAAAAAGAGCCTGTACTGTAAATATTTTATAGCTAATCGTAGACACTACTTGTTAGTCTGCACTGTGGTTTGACGCATATTCAGATGGATATGGCACGTATTGAGTGGATACTAATTGAGAATGTTTTATAGCTTGTAAAAATGAATTTTAAGCCTTGCACGATGGGTCATTGGCATAAGTCCCAGAAAAAATAAAAACGTCTGTCATGAATTCAGAATTTCAGGTGGCAAATTGTACTCTTCCCCCATTAACAGATGTGCTGTCACTCTATGAACGCTCTTGGGAATTACAGTTTACAGGCTGCCTCGAGCATTTGAGATTCCAGTTTTAAAAATACTCTCATGACGTCTTCTGACAATTCATCCACCTGACGAAACTGGTTTTCATCCTAACCTAGCACAGAATAATAAGCTGCAGCAAGAAAGTACCGACACAGAGTCGTGTTTGTGGGTCATAACTGTGAAAAAAGGGGATTAGAGCATCAAGTGTGTCACTATTGAGGACATTAACAGCCCGGTTGCTAGATTCAGTAGCAAGTGATGTGTGCATGATGGCGCATGAGTCCATAATGACCAGTGTACTATAAGTGAATGTCTGTAAAGTGACTGCATATTGATGAAGTCTATATGAGTGTATTTATGTAGCTTTGAACCAAATGTCTACACCCAATGTGGATTTGCTAATGGGTACAAAACAGGACACATCTGAGACATCTGAACAGACCTCAGCTGGACTTCTGTCAAAAGAAGTATACGTGTGCACAGGCCTGCTGCTGGCTACTCTTCCTCTGAAGACCAGGTCCCATTTAAACCTGCTGCTGGTCAATGCAGGACATCTGGAATGTGCACATGGAGTTTAAAAAAAGTGCCTGAACAACTGAAGGAAGGAGGGGGAGCCCGTGCTTCTCATTTTGCACCCTTCACCGGGAAGTAACAGGCTTAAGCCGAGCTGACAGTGGCACCTCGTTCTGTGAATTCCACACAAAAGAGCAGATTATGGACACAGATGGAGAGGAGGACTGGGATAGTGGAATATTTTCATGACATGATACTTGATACACAAAATAACTTCAAAAAAATGATATGAATAAAAATGCATTTTCATGTGAGTCCTTTTGTTATTTACTTTTTGAGTGTGTCTTTCAAGGTCGAAACATTTTGTATTTAACACGTGTGGAGAAGATACAAAATTTGTCCAAAACAGTACGATTTTATTCTTGTGGATTAATATTCTAGTAGATTCTTTGTGATAATGAAGTATTTGGCATGAGATGACCCTGAGATTTATAACATCTTAAACAGTATTTTATGAGAATTTGTTATCAGCCCAAAAAGTCCCAAAAATGTTATTGACTGAAACAGCCCGTAAAAACATTACAACTGCAACTTAAAAATATCCTGTTATACACAATTTTAGATCTCAATATTGATTCATCATTTTCTGAAAAAAACAACTTGAAATGTTAGTTTTAAAGGTTAGTAGATCAAATAACCACACAGGAGAGGTCCAGTATGTAGCATTTAAGAGGCTCTTTGGGCAGAAATGGGATATAATTCCATAGGTATGTTTTCAAGAGTGTATAATCACCTGAATATACGTGTTTTTGTTACCTTTGAATGAGTCATTTTTATCTACAGATGCTGAGGGTTAGGGGTTAGTACAGTAGCACAGAATGAACTAACCGAACACTGGCTGTAGATGGGGCCTTTTTGCAAGTTTCACAGCCACCGTAGTTTCTCCTACACAATTCACAGCCCGTTCTCATTCCCAGGTCTTCAAATACAGACATAAAAAGTTAGTTGCAATCTGCAACTTCACCGCTAGATGCCACTAAATCCTGCATACTGGACCTTTAAATGCCTGCCAGTCCTGAATACTTATATACTAATATACTAATATACTAATACAAATAATCATATACATATCCAATACTGCCAAAAAGTAGTCCTGCTCATGGTCTTATATAATGGTTTATGTACCACGGTTAAAAAAGATACAGCAAACTCAGTGGCAGGAAACTGATTAATATAATCTTGTGGTGTATATATTCATATTTCCTGTAATATGAAACCTCTGAAGTGGTAAAATGTGCCCTTGCTTTCATCCAGCACCACCAGGCAACCTATTTTGTACTCATTCTGCCTGATAACTTGCTAATGGATGCCAGTCTTTAGATTGTGTGTCCACCAGAACTGAGAGAGCCTGAAACTTAATTAGAGTCTGTGTAGGTGGGACTCAGCGTCACTGTGACAGTTTGGACAGATGGTTGTTATTGAGACGAAGACCAGAAACACTATAGGCACATAGAGAGCGAACATATTGAACTGCAAATTACTGGTTGTAAAAGAAATAAAGAAACAGCATAGTCCAAGATCAAAGGTTTTGTTTATTTTCAATCACATACATATACTATTTTTACATACACAGTTCCTTTAAAATGTTGTGTTTACAGTAACAGCTTTCAGTAATTTTTTTCTTTTTCTTTTGCATTTGTTTTGACTTTATTTGAAACGCTATAGCCTGAAGCTTTGAGATCAGCGTGAAACAGATACAATTTCTTTTTTTTCTTTTTTCAACCTGACAATGTCAAAAAGAATGATTTATTAAAACAGCACGGAGTAAAAGAAACAAGAGAGAAGGAATCATAAAAGAAACAAAGAACAACATCACCTGATTCAGATGAGCTATACAGGGTTTCATCATTGTAGAGTTCCACATTTCAGTCCACAGTTAAGACTCTTAACATTTTAGCATCACCTGACCCTTGCAGTAGCTTGCCTCCCTGTCTGAGTGCAATAAAGTGTTTATTGCATTGTTGGATTGTTGTTATTTACAATATGATTTGAAAATAAGAAATGAAAATCAATAAACTGGGGATCACAAGTACTGAGTCCAAAGATTTTATGTTGGCACAGCTGAGTACAAGATGTATCCTAACTTGTGACACATATTTCATATTGGCAATAGTCAAACATCTTCAGATAACAAATAAGACATGAATTTGGCTAATTCTGAATCCACAAGAGATCGTTTTTTTAAGTCCCTTGTGACAAAAAATAGGAGCAGGATTGGTAGTTGACACATTTCTAATTCTAAGGTGAATATACACATGAACTACATCCAAACACATGACTGTACCAACTCCCCATCAAACATTCTGGAAAGCGATCCCACAAACGCCATGATCTTGTATTGAAAGAAGGATCTTTAAATAATCTGTCCAGATGCCAAATCACATCTTCCAATTCAACCTTACAGACAGTTTGTGTTCAATGCTGGTTAATTTGAAATCACACACACACACACACACACACACACACACACACACACACACACACACACACACACACACACAACACACACACACACACACACACACACACACTGATGACAAAGCAGAGCAGCAATGACGTGAGTGGAACAACTCATTTCTACATTCAGTGCCGACAACCCAGCTGTTTCTGTGTTAGAATCACGTCTGCTTCCTAATCAAGCACCTTTTTATTACAACAGAATTGTCTGGAGGGAAGTCTTATAAAAAAGATCACATTCAGAGACATTAAAAAAAAAAAAAAAAAAGGTTTTAGTATTTGTACTCAGTGACCAGGACATGGTAATGGGGTGGTTAAAAATGCCCTGTAGAATAACTGCAACAGTACTGTGAGTATTTGTGGTGTAGGAGTCGACTCAAACACGGGACCCCGTTGTGAGAAATTCATGTGAACATTTTCAAAACACAAAAAATGTCAAAGTTGCACCCTGTTTTTGAAGGATTGCCCTGGCCAGACCCTGAACAGAAAGCCAAGTTAGCCGTAGCTTATTCTGGAGATGCCGCCCTCAGTTACCCTCTTAGCTCTGTGAACGTGCTGTAAGTCTGTGTGTGGTTCACTGTACACAAGCCACAGGCAGAGCGAGTGTTAACAAAGTGGCTATTGGAGGTTATGTATACAATTCTGGGAGAAGGATTGTATTATACAGTGACTGGGTGCTTTAGTTAGACTCCATGCAAAAAGTAAACCCCTGTGCTGTAGCAGAGATACCGTTATACTGTCAAATGACGTGTTAGGAAACAAATATGTAAACAGTGCAGTCACCACATCTCCTCGAGGATGTTTTAAAAATGTCATGACTGGGACTGGACCTTTACTCTAAACTAGTGGACGTATGAGCCATGCAATTTCCGTAAGTAAGAAATATGGTGATAGTCATAGGAATTGTTGTAAATGGCGTTTTGACGTGCTGGAAGCAAACACAGACGTCCCCATTTGCTTCATTAAGGGACAGAGAAAGCATCCTTGAGTAGGTCCTTTGTCTAGAAACCTTATGTATTTTTCTATTTTACCTGAATGTCGAGTGATAAAACACTATGAGACAGGTAATCCAATTTATTATGCATGCTATGCATAAAGTAATCTGTTTGTTATGTTCACACAAACACAGCTTACATGTCCTAAAATGTCAATCCAACAGCAGAATTATTAAAAGAGAAATAATTTCTTTGCTTGTAAGATATGATCTTTTTGCCCATAAACCCACCAAACCTGCGCAAGAACATGAAAAATGAGAATTCCTTTTTCTCATTCACTTCTAACAAAGAATAAATAACATATACACAAATAAAACACTAATAGGTCACCTACTTAGTTTTCAAGTTGTATTTTATCTAAAGCGTGAAAAGAAAGCTGTAGTAACACTTTAATTACAATCAAGAATTGCATTCACAACTGCAGCTAAAATGTTGTTGTGAGTAGTGAAAATATAGTTCATAGCCTTGGTTGTGGGTGCTTTATTGTATGTAGGTGAGGACTTTCTCTCCTCTGATTCCAGTCTTCCAAACATACTGTACATCTTTTTAAATGTTTCTTTCTTCAAATTTAAAAGAGAGCAAAAGAAAGAGCTGCCAAGCCTTTGCCAAGTTCAATGCAAACAATGCATGTGTTTGTGTGTCAGCTAGTGTCCCAGTTTGAGAAAATGTGGTCACACTATTTTATGGAGAATCAGTTTGAAGGAGAAATTAAAATAAATCAACATGAAAAATGGCAGAAAAGCTTTCATGTTGTGTAAAAACGAGCATAAGCATTACTTTAAGCCATAGAATCTGACGAAAGCCATTTCATTTCACACCACAAACGCTCACTGTCACTGGCTGAAACCTGAAGTCAAAGCGCCAACATCTGGCCAAACACAGCTTTTTAGTTTCCTTAAATGTTTCCACCACATTTCCACTTGGGGAGTCGGATAGTTTTAAGGCAGAAAAAGAAGAAGCAGAGGGGAAAATACCAAAAATAATATAATTTCTGCACTTGCAATGCTTCATTCCAAAAAGGCACTTGCCATATTCAGTTTCCATCGATAAAAATAAATTAATGAATAAATAAATCTTCCTGCTAAGAAATAATGTACTTAACTGTTGGGGGGTCCTCTATCCAGTTCATTTTTTATGAGTTTTTGTATACTGCTCATGAGTTTACTTCAGAACAAAATGTCACGAGGTTAACACTCATCGCCCGCCTTTAAACTACCAACTGCATAATTTGTATCTCTTTCTAAAAGCCTTCTGTGTTTCAATCAAATAAATAAGAATAGTCTCTCTGTGTGGTAACACCACAGTCAAACAGACCAACTTCCTGTGCCTATGAGGGGTTAATGGTACACAATGACATGCAGGGCCGTGGGCCAGCCCGTGGGGTGGAGGAGGGACCGATCATACACTGCCAGGAGAAATAAAAGGGACATTACACACAAATCAGACTTTTTAAACTCCTTATAGGTAGAAGTCTGTGCACAATCAAAATAATTCACTCTACTGAGTGTACTGACCCTTTAAGTCCCGAACTCAGCCCTGACATTTACTAATGTCTTAATGGCTTGCCTGTTGTTAACAAACACACACACACACACGCACACACACACTCACTCACTCACTCACTCACTCACTCACTCACACAGTCCTATCCAGTGACCAGACCCCCCATGTCTGGAGTTAGTTTACATCGTATATAAACAAAAGTCTCTATAAAGACTCATTTTAGCATACAGTGAGATTAGCATTGTTTTAAATCTAACCATGCAGGACTACAGCGATAGGCAGGGGCAACTGAGGTGGAAAGCAGTGATGTGGCAAGGTGCGCTAGTCAGAAAAAAAAAAAACTCCCAGTGTACTGGCCGTCAGTCCCACTCTGTGTGCCCTTCAGCTGTACAGAATTACATTATTTACAAGTAGTGCAGGGAGTGCCGCGCTGCGTGAGAGCGACTACATGTCCCTGCAGAATAACCACATAAAAACACACAAATCAGGCAACCTTACATTGGGGATTGTGTTGGGTGGGGACGTCTAAGACAAAGCCTAGAGGTTAAAATACAGCAGTGTCGTCACATAAGGGTTGGATAAAGGGGAAAAGGAGAATGAAGTTTGTATTGTACAGTAGTGATGAGCAAAATGGCAGCCCACCTTGCCACAATGATTGGAGCATAAATGCTTTTGTAAGGATTTGGGAGACCAGCAGCCGGCCAATATGCACTTTACAGGAGATGCAAGTCTAAGCATTTGGTCATTTTTGTTTGGATGCCATATACAAGATATGTGGGGTAATATAAGCAAAGCAACTAGAGGATCATTAACATATATCTCAGCTCATTTACTCATTTATTTTTCAGTTTAAATACCACTGCTGTTTTTGAATGACAATGCACAGGCTTTAGATTTCATCATTTCAGATTCTGTTTCCATAACTCATGTTTTTGTTCTTAATATATTCATTTTGATCTTTACTCTTTTTTTAAAGTATTTTCCATTGGTCATTTCGGGGTGGGTTCTTCACCTTCGGAAGAACATGGGGTTGCGCAGGCAGGCCGCTAGTCACCTGCAACACCCCAGGGGTCCTGCAGAGGTCTCCAGGCTGCTGTCAGTGTCTGATGCCAGGGTCTGGTCGGTGGACATGGAGGAGATGTCGTTTATGGAGGAGGAGGGAGGGAGGCTCTCGCTGCTGTTCACGGCTGCACCTGTGCTAAGGGAATCAACAGCAGCAGGGGGTTACAACGTAAAAGAGTCCTGGCAAAGACAGGTGCAGAAATACAACCAGAAGAGATGTTTTCTAAGTGTTGAATATAGCTGAATTTGTTTCTCTGACATCGACAACATCAACAACAGCTGTGGGACACCACAATCACAGTGTGTCTATGATGAGACAGGGGTAAGTGAGGTTTGAGTCCAATGAATTTTACAGGAAATATCGTCCAAGGCTGCGGTGTTTCATCCATAAGAGTGGACGCGCCAGCAAGTAGTTGCTTGACAGCATTTTAGTATAAACCCAGACATGGTTAGGATTTAATGGCATAAGTAAACTTATTTTGTTTTAATGCCATAAACATGCGTTGGTATGACAATATTTATGATTTATGTATCACAAAAGGACTACGGCTATGGCTTGCTCAGGCATTCTCCCTGTTTTTTAAATAACAATCAGATTTTCTCATATTGATCTTGTTTTGAAGTCAAAGGCAGAAGCAGCAGCAAGAAATATTTTGAGATTTCATTAAAGAACTCTTAGTTCAGTCTGCTCAGCTGCTATGCTGTCTTTAGTAATGCGATTAAGACTCCATTGAATACCCTAAAGGTCTCTGTTTGATGATTTTCTTGCATGATTTTCATCCAGGTACAGAAAGAGTCAGTCTTTCTGTACCTGGATTGGATTTGTCTATAAAAGTGAGAGGTTTCTAACAGTGCTGGAGGTTTGGAGGCTGACACATCCCTTCAATGCTGTGTGGATCTGGGGACTAATCTTGGGCTAGCAGACAAGGGCGTTAATCTCAATTTTCAAAAGGAAGGAACAGAAGGTATCAAGGAACCCCACTGCTCAACTTCTGTGTGTTTGGGCAGCACTTTCATCAAATCCTCAGTGAGTGGGTTTTCTGTTTATCAACAAATCAATAAAAAGATGTGCAGCCTCAATATGCCAGGGGAGTTGAAAGAGTAGCGCCAGATTAAAAAGGATAAGGATGGGAATATAAGGGTATTGCCAATAAGAGGACATCGCTAAAACAACTGCTTTTACTTCCAAGCAGTAGTCCTGTAATTTCTACAGAGGACATGTACAGTGCAGGCAAACTATAAATCCTGCCTGTTCCCTGTGGGAGGTAATTGCTTAATGGAGACTGGTGGGTACTTCAGCTGACCCAAAATAAAAAAAACAGAGAACAAAGCAGGATTAATGGCTGGCATTAATTCCAGCAGTCACTTCACTTGCTTTACTTACAGTAAATACATCAAAAATATCTGTTAAAAGTCACCATGTGGGTGCAGCATAAGTTTAAATCTTGAAAGATGACTTGAGCATAAATCTAGCAGTTATAAGAAGGATTACTAAAATGGAAGATTAATTAAGCTTTTCAAATCATAAATTAATTAATCTCGGGAGAAACTCTAGCAGAAGTTGTGATGTGAGGTTACAACTCTTGCCGTGCGCTGCTTTGGCTCTTCTAATAAAGTCTAAACCATCTTGTACTGTACAGCCGCCCTCTGCACTCAGTGAACTTATCCATCCTTTGATATCTCCAGAGACATAAAAGGCTCATGTGAGTTACAGAATGATCGTGAATGTGTTTATAACCTCTCATTGAACAGCCACGTCAAAATCTGTCACACAGTCATGCTTCTTTCAACTAAAGAAAATCTGCAAGATTAAGCCATTTCTCTCAACCAAATCTCAAATCTGGAAACATTCATGCTTTTATTTCATCTCGCCTAGATTATTGCAACTCCCTTTCCTCCGTCTGCAGCAGAAATCCCCTCTTCTCTTTACAGTTGATTTAAAATGCAGCCGCCAGGATTTTAACAGGTACCAGAAAACGAGAACACATTACAGCTATATATCCTTTCATCTCTGCACTGGCTGCCTGTTGGTTTTAGAGTAGATTTTAACATTTTAATAAACACTTTTAAGGCATGAAATGGGCTGGCCCCAAGCTATAGTTCGGACCTTTTAATCTTTTAATAACGATGTGCCTCCATATATGCAGCTCTCCTGGTGGTTCCAAAAACAAGATTAAAAAACAAAGAGATTTTCCATCAGAGCCCCCAAACTGTGGAACAGCCTACCAGAGGAGATCAGGATGGCAAATTCTCTCACTGCTTTTGAATCTCTTCTTAAAACTTATTATAGTCTTGCCTTTCTGTTATCCTTTTTTCTAACTTTTTCTTTTCTTTTATTATATGATTTTGCCTTTCGTTTACTTCTTTTCTTGTAAATGACTAGATGTCATAGTAAATGAGGGTCGGCCCTCAATGATCTCTCCAATATAAGTAAAACTTGAATGAATGAATGCAAAAAATTTGCAAAACAAATTCTGTAGCACCGGCCTGTCAATATCTCCATAAATACAGCATTAAAGCCTGATTCTGAGGCATCGTGTGTTCTCAACTCTTCTGTTTTCCTGCTGCAGTAAAACCCTGCAGCATGTCTGCTACACTCAGACACTATAGGCCAGCCCATCTGCTTAATTACTACTGGATAGCAAAAAAAAAGAAGAAAGATGGTGGTGATGAATGTGTGAGACAGAGTGAGAAAAAGAAGCAGCTGTTGCTGCGTTAATGTGTATGTGTTAAAGTCATCATATGAGCTCTTACTGACTGTAATATCTAAAGTCTAATTTTTCTTTTGTAATATTTCAGCTTACAGATACACTTTAAGCTTAAAGTTGTCTAAGATAGTATTATTTGCTATTTTTTGGCAAAAAGCAGAGCAGAAGGATTTTAAGCTTTCCACAAGAACAGGGTTTCTACACTGATTGGTCCCTAAGGAGAGTATGGTGAGAGACAACGCCTAGACTTCATTGGATGCACATTCACTTCACTTCCTGTTAACATGAGCAGATGCTACTGTCTCTGCAGGATTTAGTTTCAGTTTGCTTTTCTAATCTTCAAAATTCACCTGTGTATTTTTTTTTTTTCGTTGTTGTTTTTTTAATGGAGAATGGCTGTTATTTTTAATTGCTATTTTCCACATGGATCACAGTGAAGTCTGGGTGGCCTGGTCAGTGTGCTACCATGACTCCATACTGCCTCTCTGTGGCAAAGTGTGGGAACAGCACTTTGGTCCTTTGCAGAGAACAGAACAGTATGAGACGTCAGCTGCAGCTGAGGACCGAGATTTCCTGTGATGGACCCCAAAGGACCCAAATCTTAAGTCAAGACATGTTATACATATAAATACACACACTCATAAAAGTACACACATTATCTGCTATTAAATATTGTGCACTATGAGGCAATCTTAGCAATTACTGATTAGCTGTCCTACAACGCCATTTAACAAATACAATTGGCACGACACTGCACAACATTTAACTTATTTAAAAACAGGAGATGCAGGAGACAGAGACACATGGTCAACAACACGATGGGTTTATCTATTTACTCCAGTAAGGTTATAGTAAATTCACTTACAGAGCGATTAGGGTTATGCACTGAGAGTACCTGAAGGTGAAGGCTGTCCCTTCACAACGCCATTCTTCGTTCTCTCCTCAAAGTTCATCACCTCTTTGTAGATAAGTTCTGCAGAGGAGGAGAGAAAGTCATTAAAACATGCAAAGTGGTAAAACATATACATATACATATAAAAGGCAAGGACTTATTTGTGCCTTTTGTTCCCTGGACTATTTAATGACTGAAACAAACAGCACAAAGAAAACACAAATATAAATACAAGAAAATGTTTATTTTTGTGTGTTAATGTACAATAATGTAATTCTTACCTTTCCATTCATCAATGGAGTGTTCTCTTTCATCCAGCTGCTTGTCATAGATTTGAGGTGGAGGCTAAAGGAAAGAGAGTACAGCCATTTTAGCTAACAACCCACTCAACAAGATTTAAATGAAATTTAGATGGCTGATATCACTGGGTATCGCCAGGTGGAATAAACAACTGTAGATACAAGATTTGACAAGTTTACATAATGATGCATCAAATTTGGCAACATGAAATTGTTGACTAATAAATAAAAAAATATGGGGATAAAAAAATAAAATATCTGAACATGAGAAACACCATCTATTAACTGACACTTTAACATGTACTGTATGTACACAAATACATGCTGGGGTACAAAGTAGCAGCACATGTAGATTATGAAGAAACTAAATCATGTAAATGAAGGAAAATAAAATGTATTTAACCGTAATCACATAAAAATGGTGTTTTGTTTACATAATTGGAACATCAACACATTGTTTGTCCTCACACGCATATATATTACAATACTTCAAAACTTGAAATAGGATTAAACAACTGAGAGACAGTGAGATAAGAACAAATCTGGTGGGTTGTCCAAGCTAAAGTGCCAATGCCCTTCTCCCATAGGACTGTCATTTCATCTAACAGGACACAAATATGCTGTCCGGCACCCAGTCAACCCTTCTTATCATCACTCATTCATAGTGATCCTGCCCCAGACTCTGACACCATAATCTCCCTGCAGGTGACAGGACCACCCATAAACCTCTCTGACGTGAACTTGGAGGGACAGCGTTGAGCAAAAGACAGAAGTGAGACAAACAAACAGGAGTACAGGAGTTCAATTCACAGCTTATTAACAGCCTAAAGGTTGCTTACATGCAGCCCTGTGGACATAGCTGCAGCCCTTTTACCTGCAGCTACACACTAATGACATTTCAGTACAATGCCATATGCAGATTGTATTTCATTCTCTATAACATGTTTATTATAAAGGTTTTTAATTATACTCAGTGATTGACAGTGCTCACTCCTTTAATTGACACTCTTTACAAACAAAGGTCCCGTTGAATATTTCTCTTTGATGTAGGGCGGTTGTTATTTACCATGGATATTTGGATGAGATCTCTGGCCTTCATCAGCATGAGATGACATTAGAGAAAGGGAAAACAGCAGAAAATGTGTTGAAATGCCATTCACAGCCATATCATACATACCACATCAACTCTAACATCAATATCATCATTAAAACCATCAGCAACTAGACAACTTAGACAAGTGCACAAGTCATGAAATCCTCTAAAAATGATTAATAACTACAATGGAGGTGTGTCATGTGGCGTCTTTACAAAAGCTACTGTTAACCAGTGGGATATTTCACGGAGTAAACAATAATTTCTGGTCATGCACTCATTAGTGTATTGCTGCAAGTAGAAGTGGTATCTGTACAACTTTATGGAGCTGCAGATGGCTTTTTCCCAATCTCCTTGTCACCTCATACTAATGAGGCGCTGATGAAGAAATTAGACTTCACCAAATAAACCAGAAACACCACCACTCTTATTACAAAACAGAACAATGCACTAAGTCACTCTTTTATAAGTAGCAGCAAGAATTGACTTTGTTTAATTGGGGGATATTTTAAGGAATCTAAAAACTATTAAAGTTCAAAACTAAAGTAAAAAAAATAAGTGAGATAAAAATGAAAATGAGATGCAAACCAAAAATTTAAAACACAATCATAAATGCGCTGATGCAGCAATATTCACTGATACAGAGTATACTGTTAAAAACTGATATCCGTGTTATAAATCACTATAATTGCTTTTGTTTAAAAAATTAAAAAATAAAATTAGGGGAGTCATCCATCATCATTATATTCTGTGCGCCAATGCAAATATAAAGTAAACAGTGCTGACCATTTAAAGACAGGAGGAGAGGATTGAGCTCGGGATAGTAATCAATATACAGCTCTGCCAAAGGCCTACTCACCGCCTCCACCTCAGCTGGATCATACCACACGTTGATGTAGGGGTGCTGTAAGGCCTCATCCACCGATATCCGTTTAGCGGGATCGATGATTAGCATCTTAGACAGCAGGTCTCTGGCCTGGCTAGCTGTGGTTTGGAAAAATAAACATTTATTTATCTGGTTGAGATCATAAGGCGAGAAAATATTCCCCTCGCAATCACTATGCCGAGGGGAAATGGAAACACAATAAAAAGCAGACAGGGAGGAAAAGAGAGAGGGAGAAATTGCAGGGATTAAAGAGAATAATAAACAGCAGCAGCTTGTCAATGGAAACCAGAATCTCACAAAGCCTCAATCACATGTGGGTTAGGATATAAACAGACCACTTGTTCTGGAAAACAGTATTCTGACTACTTGTTATTATGATTTATGTGGGCAAAACTGATCATATGTATGTAGTGCAAAATTCTGCACCAACCATCCAAAACTCTCTTCCTTTTTTCATCTAACTGAATTTCACAACTCTGGCGTGTCCCATATTCTACTGTTTATTTCTGATTAATGCAAAATTCAGTTCTTGGCACCATTTGTTAAAGGCTGATTCAATCAACTTCTTCTGAAATAATACTGAAATCTTGCGCTCATTGGTGTCTTTCTAAATCTAGGACATCAGTATATAAAAAAGCAACTGTATTTTATAAAACATTTGGCTTCTCAACATACAAAAACGCCGTCAGTTGGTCAGTCTCTCTACCCTCAGGCCCTCTTGGACTGATCTGAAATCGAGAACCCTTTAACCACACACCATCCCTCTCCTACACACACTGACCCCACTATAAATAGCTCTATAGCAGGAAACGACTGAAGAAACTGAACTGAGAACAGAAGAAGACAGATGAGACAGGCGCACCGTCTGCATTTTGCCTCAGCACCGACATGTCGATAACAAAAGGATGGTAAATCTGTAAAATGACTCCTCCATCGTGCTCCTTCCACCCTCCACCCTCCCTTCCCTTCTTTTCATCCTACAGTACTTTCTGTCTGCCTCTTCCTCCTACATTTCAAAAATACCAAAGCCCAAAGGATGTCTGCCTCAGTTCCTACCTGTGGCAGAACAAAACATACAAAACAGCGGCACTTCAACCCGGTCTCACACCCTTCCCACTCTCTCTATGGGTGCATTTCCTTTAACACTCTCACTCCACCGGGGAGCAGCCAGAATACAAAAGTGATTCATGAGAATTTTACCAGACAGGGGCTTTGATGGAGGAGCGGGGAAACAGAAAAGGCACATTTTGCTATAGCTCATTGGAGGGAATTTCCACTTTTTAAAACGCTGTGAAGACAGATTACACTTTTCAGCTGAGACAGACACAAAGAAATGATGTCTTGGTTAAACTTCTGCATAAGACTAGATTGAATTCACAGGGGCTCACAGAATGGAGCTCATAAAAATATGTTAGTGAATGTGTTCCAGTTTTATACGGAGACCCAAAGGTGTAAAATAAAAGTTTGAGGTAAAAGTTGACCTGAGTCAAAGTTGTATTCGCTATATATCAAAAAAGAGTCCACAGACACCCTAGTGCTTTGAGCTAAATGGTGGTGTAATGTTCATCATCTTAGAGTGTTAGCATGCTAGCATTTGCTAATAAGCACTAATCACAAACCTCATCTGAGGCTAATGGGAATGTCTTTATTTTTGCAGATATTTAGTCGAAAACTTTTGACCTGATAACCAAAAGCGAAAAAATTAAGGGATCACCAAAGCTGCCATAATTCATCCTGAGGGGCATATAGATGTCTGTTACAAATCCATCCAATAGTTGTGGTAACATTTTACTAATATCTCGAGTGACAATGCAACATTACTCGGCAATAACTGCTTTCCTGTCAAAGTTTCAAGTGCTGTGAAGCAGAGGTAGTCAAGACCGCCCCAAGACTATATAATTTATTGAATCATTTAATGGACAGAAATCACATTTCTATTATGATGTATAGCGGGCATTATGATTTTAACAGCATCTCCCCAGTACTCAGTCAAGTTGTAAAAACTTGTTTTTATAGTTGCCCTGTCAAAATATAATCTTGTGATTAACGTGAGTGTAAATTATGGCCTATGTGAGCAATAAAGTGTAAATTTTTATATCTTATGTAATTAACAAAGAACTTGAGTGATATTATGGTTAAGGTAATTACTTTTTTGTTAGATCCTCCAGGAAATACTGCAGAGCTATACATGCAGAGGTTTTAAATTCAAATAATCAATCAGTAAAATAGAGGACAGTGGACAATTACATGCATGACAATACCTCACAAACACATCACTGCATTCTCATTAAATGGCTAAAATACACTTCATTCGTACGCTTCAAGTCCTCACCTTTGAGTTTGTTGTGCTCAGAGTCAGCAGGGAAAAGGCAGTCGGGGAAGAGCTTGGGAAAGGTGAGGCCTGCATACTTTGGCCGGTTCTCGACATAGTTCCTCACTGTGGGCTGAAGCTTCTTCATGAACTCTGGTGAGGGTGTGCCCAGCTGCTCAATCACCTTGTTCCACTGGTCAATGTCTGGTGTGGTGGGTTAGGATTAAGGGAAACACACATGGAATATGCAGCATCCAGTATGCCTCTGTGTCCACTCAGGTACTACTCTCACATAATACTGTAATGTGTATTTAGGACAAGAAAAAATTATATTTGATTTACTCATAAAAGGTTGGACATATGATAATGGAGGTCATGTGACCAAAGAGAATAAAGAAAAATAAATAAAGAGTATCATCACCAAGTTATTTAAAGTATTTCTGATCTCAGAGCAGCTTAGAGTCCCATCTAAGCATCCGTGTGAAATGACAAAAGGTTGAAGTTTGACTTAAGTGAAATAAGATCATTTTTAGAATTATAGGCCCCAATATGCATCCATTCCATATTTCGCAATATTTTTTAATACATATAATTAAAATTCACTCTCCTTCCTTCTACTTCAGTCTCCAGTTTTGTAGGAATTAGTATTATTGGCTGCTTCTTAGAACGCATAATCTCTCAAGTGATCCCTTGTTCTTTTATATCTGCTTAAAATACATGAAATACCCAGAGTGTGAACTATACCATGGCTTTTTGGGGACCTTCCTCTCAGAGGAGAGGACTGACTGACTCATCGACTGCAGAGTAATGAATAATGGTGGGACTAAGAAAGTTTGTTTTTTTCTGATGTTTGACTTTAAAGTGAGTGAAGTTTATAATAATATTCCGCTACACTTCAGTGGTGATGGCAAGAATACCATGAACGCCGGTATCTTTATCAAAGTGAATTAAATCACCCTCATGCATGAATTATACATCAATAATAGCCTAATTTTACCCATGAACCATGATGGTTAAGATACATAAAGAGAAAAAGCACATTGTCAATATTTTATAGACGTCGCAAAATTTAAAAATGACGTTTTCAGGGGAGTTCATGTCCTATTAAGAGAAGCCGAGTTGCTTACCGAAGAATCTGGAATTGAGTCATAAAGATTGTGGTTTTTAAATGTGTACTGTGTGTTTGTGTGTGGAAATATGGTTGTAGGGTGTGTCAGCTTGTGTTTCCCCTCCTTGTTGATGATGAATATTTCCTCCCTTACCCCTCCAAACACTCTGAATTACCCCCTCCCCATGTTCTCACAGAGGGTGCCAGTTGAGGCAGTTAGCTGCCAGGCCCACCAGAGATCCCCATTACTTCATCTTGCTGGAACGCACCACACACTTCCACCTCCTTTTTGTCTCCATTGCACACTGGCTCTGATCCACACAGTGCTCAGTGGGGCATTTTTTTCCTCCACTAAGGTCCTTACCCATGGCTCTTTGGCAAGTTGTTGGATTAACTCGGACAGCTAGAGGTGTTTTTCCACAGTGTGTCAGTACCAAAATGCCTGATGCTCCACTGTGAAACACGGCATCGTGCACCTGAACGCAACTGCTCACAAGACCCTCTGTTGGGTTTCTATGAAATTTATGTTGTGAATGTGAAACACAGTGAGGGAGCGGCGGGAGGTCAGAAGGATACGGTCAGTCCCAGGGAACAGCACTGTCCCTCTTATCACCTCTCCAAAGATGCAGCCGACTGACCACATGTCCACTGGGGTCCACACACACACACACACACACACACACACACACACACACACGCACAGGTACACACACACACTTGGATTACCAACATCTATCAAAAATCACACTTCCAGCCCCTAAATGACTTACAGATAAAATAATATAAATACTTTTTCCAAGTTCTAATCGAATGTATCCCTGATTTATTGTCGTTTATCACATGCTAAATATGTGTCAAAATACTTTTCTAATCTTTGGCTGAAAAATGTTAAAATATTCAGGTTACATAAGTTTATCCCATCAATGGGAAGAGAGCAGGGTCCCAATACAGGAGAAGTGTCACTTCCTTTATGGTCCCTGTACATGAGGTTTGTTTTTCATGTTTCTTTATTGTTATTATTATTATTATTGTTATTATTATGCTTACTATTATTATTAAATGTAATGTTAGCATTACGTTGGATAGTTTGTCCACATCTTCCTAATGTAAAAATGCTATCTAGTTACAAACTTCTTTATAAAACACTGATGTTATATCTGCCCAGTACTTCCTGTAGCTGATTTCTTTTGATTGATGATGATGATGGTTTTTTACACAGAGTTAGACTAAAGTGAAAATAGTGACTGTATTTTATATTTACATATTTGCTTTTATACCTTTGTGGTAGAAAAGGAAGTGATACATCTCTGCAGGGACCTAACATCTCATCATCCCTGCTCATTACTCAACCATTACTGTGTGGGTAGCTAGCACTGTAGCAAGAAAAGCAGTGTATTAGTAGGAGAAGTGTGTTTGGTTGTCAGCTCGCAAAAACTGTTTACATTTCTGTAAACATTACAGGTCTAATTTTTTATTTCCCCCATATCCTCGTAACAACAGAGATGATTGTGCTGTATAAGTTAGCCCGCTTTTGAGCATCAAATGTGTGCTACTTCTGCAACATGACTATATGCATTCGACTGTCTATATTTATTGTAAGCCACAAACAGAATACAACTTAAATGTCCATATCATCACTCCATAGCCACTTATTTAACACACAGCTGTACTAGATGGCCATCAAACACCCAGTCACCCTGAGGCTCACTGTGCTGTGACCTGTGCAGACAGACTGCTATCCTATATCGTCGTCTGACAGACAGTCTGACAGGAAGGTGCAAAGAACTTCAGCCTGGTCAATACTTCAGGTCGAAAAGTCTATATTTAAGTAAATTAAGATTAGCAACAGCGGGGTACCACTCCAGAGCTAATCAATAAGCAGAAGATGAACAAAAATATGCATGACTACTGTCCACTGAGCTACAGTTAGAAAGGATGGAGTGTCACATGATAAGAATTTCAATGTCGTTGTGAGAGCGGAGACAAAGGAGAGAGATATTGCAGAGCTCATTGCAGGGGTTTTCTAGTTCTCCAGAGCATTAATCTTTCAGGGACTGCATGATCAGGGATGTAGAGACCAGAGTACTATCCACAAGCACCTGCAGACACACTGGTCTTGTGTTTGTGTTGCTTATCTGCCTCTAAACAACTCACAGTAAAATCATAATTTTAAAGGATGAGTTTGGTGATATTTTATATGTTTGTGATTGTCAACAAAACCCATGGAAAGACCAAAACCAACAATGCATTAGTCCATCTGTCAATGCGTTTTGACCCGTTCTGTGGCTTTAAGCCCACTTGTTCCTACTTAACACATTCAAAAAAACGTGTCACAAGTACTAAACTTAAAAAATAATTTCCTAAACCAGCTGGACACTGTTGGGTTATTCAAAGAGGAGTGAATAGTGCATTTGTTGGGAACTATTTCCAGCTGGGAGCAGGATGGTAAGGGATTAACTATACAGTATCCATGCTCACCATGAGGAAGGAAAGTATCTCCCAGTGCAATGGTATGACTCATTTATGTGTTTTTAATATTTTTTTGGACAACAGCGAGGTCTAAGGCACTGAGAATTAGCTATATACAATTCACTTTAAACAGAGTACACCAATCTCTAAGTATTCTAACTTTTAACATTATGTCCTAGTCTGAGTATCTAAGTGTTAAAAGCAATTTGTTCCTGTTGCCATAAAATTTCTTCAGTCCTTTTTGAAGCCAGCCTTCAACCTTTTTCCTTTTCTTTTTTTTTCTTAACTCAGACTCAGTCCTCACCATTGAGTACTTGGTGTTCCTTTTAATATAGCGTCTTTTTGTGTAAACGTGTTTTAATGCGTCCAGTCTTGATGTGATAAGTTGTGTTTCAATGTCACAAACCTTTGCGCATGTAAGCAAAGACAAATTTCTGCCTTTTGCATGCAAAAAGGTAGACACGAAATATTCTATTCTTTATCAGGCTACACAGAAAATAGAACTTGTTAGAAGGATCAATTCATTGTTGGTTTTGGTCCTTTCATTGGATTATTTAATAATAAGACAAATCTAGAATACCCCAAGACTTGATGATTTTTACCTTGCATCATGCAAGTTTTATTACTACCCCATCATCGCAGCTGTCTCATTTCTAATCCTTAACCTTTGAACTCTCCTGGCGTAACCAAGTGAGTTCAACTAAGCTGCTATTAACAGCTGCTCAAAATGAATAAATTAATCCTTCATTATTATTCACTAAATGCTTAACAACTATGTCTGACTCACATATGTGGGCACCCTCAGATGGCAAGATGTACTTCATGTGTGGACACATGTGCACAAAATCAGCATGGGGACTATTTATCCAAATCCATCCTACTGAAATAAGTCATCTTGGGGATGCAATTACAGCCCCCTCACTGCAGGAGAACACACGAGGTAGCACTCCAAAAACACTCTAAATAATAACAAACACATTCAGAGACATAGAGAGAGAGAGCTTCGTTTTGCCAAATGTTGAGGCTGAATAAAGCTTGAGATTCAGACTTACTGACTTAAGAACAATAATTTATGATGCGTATCTTATGATGTTATTGCAGGTTAAATTAAAAGTGTTAAAAGAAGACCGGTTGGAATTGATACGGACATGTGTTATAAAGACAGCCAGATGTGAGAGTGGTTTAGTTCACCCCAGTAACATACAGAGAACATCAGGCCAGGTACAGAATGATCTTCAAAGTATATGTAACTAAGAAATGTAAAATAATGGAACTGAAGCCAAAATTGACCAAAATACCACGTGAAACGTAAGTTATTGTTATTACTGTATGAATTAAACATTTACATTTTTTAAAGGACTAAGGGACAACACAGCTGTAGCTACTGTTTCATTAATGCCAAACTCTCCAAACACTTGATTTGAAGTTTCAAAAGTTAGTTGAATCCATCTTGAGTCAGACACTTGAAACCCAATATGGATGGTGGCATTTAAAACAAAGAATGATTGATCTTTAAATCCATTCTTCGTTATATGCACCAGACATAAACCTATAAACAAAAACAGTGTTACCATCACATAATGTTGATGTGGGTTAACAAGGATACAGTCCCGGCCAGGGAAGAGGATTTTGTGGCGCACCATTTCTCCCATAATGCACCCCACCGACCATATATCCACTGCACGCATAGAGGTGAGCAAAAGAAAAGAGAGGAAGGCAAAGGTTAGTGTTAGACACATCAAGCTTTCTGCGGCAAGAAGCAAAAGTGATTAGAAACTAGCTGTTATTCAGTGAGGGAGAAATAAGTAGCAAGGAGCATGTTATATAGAGATAAAGTGGAATGAAATACAGATATAGACAGAAAGCAGAAGAAGAGCAAGAAAAGAGAAAAGCAGAGCCTTGGAAGGACTAACTAGCTGCAGGAAATAGCCTACAGGCTTCCATCCATGGGAGGAATATAGCTAATGAGTCATAACTCTTAGCATGGTATTCAATCACTTGTCTGGTGTTCTGGGGGCTTTTAATCAGTGACTCAGTACCTCCAACAGTTCACTGTTGCTCATTTGCAAAGTGCGACTCAGCCAGAATTGTTTTTAAGGTTTCACAGATAATACCATGATGCTTTCATTTGGGATCATGAATGGATAACACCTGTGTAATCTTATATTTTTTCATCAATGCCCACGAAAAGATCATCTAAGTCATCAGTCCCCCACTGGTTTAAAATACATTACATAAAGCTCACATAGACATACTGCTGGTCGGTTTAATGTAATTCACTTTTGAAAATGACTTTGTAACACAGTTGCGTAAAAAAGGTTCATTACTCTTCCTACAAGTAGCTCCTCATCTGTATTAACTTTAGTATCCCTTCTTCATTGCCCCCCCACAAGAAAATAAGACTGCAGTTTTGAGAAAATAGCTCCAATAAATGACTAAAAACTTAGCTAAAACTTGGGTTTATTGTGACTGCAGTGTTATCCTTTAAATCTGTCTGAATTTGATACATGCATATTCACTGAATAATCCTTAATTCTCACCGTTCTCTTTGTATCCCATGCCCAGGATAACCTCTGGGGCTCTGTAGTATCTAGTCACCACATAAGGGGTCATCATGAAGCTGGTGCCTGCGGTCCTGGCCAGACCAAAGTCCAGGATCTTCAGGGTGCAGTCTGACTTCACCACTATATTGCTTGGTTTGAGGTCCTGGAGATGGGAAAAGACTTGCCTTAGACACTGTGTATATTTAGGTAATTTACAGGTGTTGACATGTTTAAATAGACAGTTTCTTTAGAAGATATGCCTATTTGCTTTGTTGTGGAGAGTTAGATGAGAAGATCAATACAACTTTCACGTGTCTGTTAAAAACTGTATTGTTAGCTTTAGATTAGCACAAAGACCGGAAACAAGAAAACAGTTAGCCTGGCTCTGTCCAAAACTAACAAAATACACCTACCAGCATCTCTACAGCTCAATAATTAACACCTTATATCTTTTTTTGTACAATCCATACAAGAAATAAAGTGTAAAAACAAGCATTTTGAGCTTTGACAAAAGCTACTTTCTGCCAGCTTTATCCCCTTTTTGCAGAAATTATGCTAAACTAAGTTATAGGATGGCTGGTTGTAGCTCCATATTTATTGTACAGATATGAAAGGGGTATCAATCTTCTTACTAACTCTCCAACACATATTTCCCAAAATGTCAAATGTTTGCTTTAAATGTCAATACTGTGTTAATTTTCTTCAGAACTACCTAAAACTGTAATTAGTTAAACTGCGGTCAAAAATCTGGTAGCACTCAGTTTTATTTATTTAAAGTAATGATCTCCCAATCTGGAATTACCATTTCTTCATGCACTGTGGCAAAGTCTCTGCTATCTCCCGCTACTGACCAGGAGTGGTTGTAAAAGGCAATTTACCTCCTCCAATTGACCTGCCAGGAAGGAGCCTCACTGAGAGGACGTAAACACATGCTATATCCACCTAGATCCTATTTCCCTTTGTGTAGGTGCTCTGGCCAGTCAAATCTGCTGGTGCACTGACAAGGACATGATTCCTCACAGGCTCCCCACCCTGTGAACACTGCCAACTGTGGGACAGCTGGGACAGTCAGCCAAGCCAGATGGAGGCACCAGGGATTAAACCCTGGTCACTGCAGTGCTTCCTCTGGGCCACCTGGGTGCCCTTCTGGCCAAATGGGTGACCAAGGTGACATCAAGGTTTACGCCAAGTCTGCTGATGTTAGACTATAAATTGCCATCCCAAAAGATATTTAAAAAATACACAACCCAAAACATTCAGTAGTTAAAGAAGAAAACCGAGGCGTCTTGCTTTCCTACCCTGTGAATAATGCCGGCTGAGTGCAGATGTTTGATACCACAAAGCATCTGGTAGAGCAGGTAGGACATTCTCTCGTGGTCAAGCTCCATCTGAATCACCTGGCACAAGTTGGCATCCATCAGCTCCATCACTAGGTACCTAAGAAAAGGTTTTATTGATTTATAAGTGACGGATCTTTGACTGATTATTTTGGCATTTGATTAGTCTACTAAAATTTGATTTGGCTGTTCTGTAAATACTTCTCTAATAAATATAGCAACTTCTGATCAACCCATATACATTTCAGGAGCAACTTCTTATCCAGCCTACTTCTGGTTTAAGCAACGCCCACATCCAGTTTAGGCCCTGCCCATTTCAGCCACAAATACAGATAATGCAGTTGGTTGAGCAGAGACATATACAGATAAAGGTGTACTTGCTCATCTCTACCTTCTACCATTTCAGCCACAAAGACACATGAATCTATCCGCAGTACTGTTTATCTTAAGACTGTTCAAAATGTGAACACACTCTCATTCATCATTCAGTATGAAAACAGGATACATTGAGCAGCCTCAGATTACACCTACAGTGCTTTCACTGACTACACTCCAGTGGTTATGCTCTTACAACTGCAGGTGCGAAGGAGTAAATAAGCACATAATACATAATAAAATCAGTCCCCTTCTTTTCTCTGTCATACAATATATCTAATTAAATGAGAACAAGTAACCTTTCTTCGCCTGCTAAATTAATATTTTTCACGGAAATGTAATTATGCAAAGAAGGGTTTCCTATACTCACACATCCTGGAATTCCTCTAATGATTTCTGTGGTGTGAAGACATTTAATAAACTGATAATCTGAAATAGAGAAGAGGATGGAGAGGATCAACATATAGCACTTTAAACATACACACAAAATCTGAGTTACAGCAAGGGACGGGGATGCAAGTTGGTAATGACCCTGATGAAGGACACTGCTGGGCGAGAGACAGAGTAAACCGAGGAAGCGAGGGTGGAACAAAAGATCAGGGATAAATGTGGATGGGAGGAAAAAGAGACGGAGCAGAAGAAAAGAGAACAAATTGCGGCGTTGGAGATTACATTCATGCCTTGAAGTGCTCTCTGTTTCACTCTCCTGCCAGTTCGGTACATTTCTGGAGGCATGGAATTTAGCACGGTCACAACATTGCAGTCGCTCGTCTCTGTTTTGTAGCAAAGGGATTTATCGAGCACCAAAAATAGACACTGACTGGGGTAAAACTGCTTCATTCTGACAATAGATGCGTTTTCCTTCTTCCTGCATTCCTTCCTACTTCTGTTACACCTCTGAGTTACTTACATTTTTGTGATTGACACATTTCATGAGCACCAACTCCCGATATGCCCTCTTGGCATGGGTCTGGTTCTGGAAGGGTCTGCTCAGCTTCTTGATGGCTACATTTCTGTCCAGGACAGCATCATAGCCCGCACTGCAGAAGAAAAACCACAGAGGACGGGCGAACAATTTAGTATTCATAGCTGGGTGAATCATGACATTGTGACAATCCACCCTGAAAGTCAATGGTCACAAAAACAAAAGGATTATTTTTCACATCTCCAAGCAAACAAAGACTTGTAAAAATAGATGACAGATGACTTCGTTTTAAACTCATCATTTTATCTGGAAAATAAAAATTCTCCAGAGGCAGAAAAACATTCTTGGAAATACGGTTTTTCGCTTTCTTAGATTAGTTGGATGAGAAGATTGATATTGCTGGCAGTTACATCTTAATCAAATCCAATATTAAAGGTGCCATATGTAAGATTCTGAAGCATCTTACATATTATTTTATATATTAACCAGTTTAATTGCCAATTTGCCAAGGGGTTGTAATCTCCTCCTGCTAATTTAAGGTGAATACTCTCAAGGTGGAATAATGAGAGAGGTTTTTTTGTTCTTGTGCCAACATTGTGTGAATACAGCACAAGACTCCAGGAAGTTGCTGTCACTGGCCAAGAAATAGTACAGTATAAATGCCTGGCTAGCTGCTACAAGCTAAGCTAAGGGTCAGCTTGCTCGGCTTTATGTTTAATGGACAGATAAGGAGGGTATTAATAACCGTTATCAGAAAACTATTTTTCATTTTTACACTTTTTTTTAACGATTTTTGTACAATTTACAATGTGTAAATTAGCTTGCTTAAAGGTGCTGATAGGCAGATATATTTACTTTTGGACATTGCCAGGCTAGCTGTTTTGCCCCTGTTTTAAATCTTTATGCTAAGCTAAGTTAATCAGCTCCTGGCAGTAGCTTTATATTTACCTTAAAGACATGAAAGTGGCATTGATTGAAACTATTTCTTGAATTCCACTTTCAGATGTTCCAACTGACCATAAACACTGACTTGTCCTATTTCTAATAATAATATGTATGAAATACTTGATTATAATATGATTAACAGTATTGACATTGCTGTGTTACAAACAACAATAAATACAATGCAGTGAAATCAAGGGGGGAATATAGATCTCTTCTCCCACAAAGTGGCTCAACCCATTTTGGAGGTCATTACAGCAGAGTGAGTTCTTTGCTGGCTCAACACAATCCCAACCCCTGAGAACCTTTGGGATTTTGTAGATTTATGTTAGCTTTCAATGAAAAGCAGTACATAGATGAGAAAAGGCAGCCATAAAGATGCCAGGCACATCACATTCTCAGCTATATCTCAGACTGTGGCTGTTTTGACAAATTCTCCCTAAAAGAGGCTACAAATTGAGTTTCAAGGCATGCAGGCTTACTGCAACCTTAATCAAGATGACGCTGTGTGTGGGTTTGCGGATGGCTGGGTACACTGTGGTTCGTCATGTCTCTGGAGACAGCAGGCCAGGGATGGTGTGTGACCATGGAAACAGTGGAGCCTTCATAAAAGCATTGATCCAATAGGGATTTGAGCCTGTCATCACTTTTCAAGCTGAGTGAAAGATGATGTCATGACCAGTTAAACTACTTAAAGCCTTCATCCCTCCTAAGATGCTTCTGAAAGCTCATCCTGACTGAGCACACAAGTCATAAGGGCAGAGATGTGCACAGATTGGGATGTTTGTGGGCGACAGCATTGGCAGAGTGAGTCTTAGCTGTGATATAAGTTTTCCCTCGTTACCATGTTCTCATGCTTCACAGGGGCAAATGTCTGATGATTGAAGAAGAAGAAATACTTGCTTTATTCACAGTTGATTATAAAGAATAAGCTTTCGGATAACTGCTTGTATTGCATTTACCTCTGTGTGTGTGTGTGTGTGTGTGTGTGTGTGTGTGTGTGTGTGTGTGTGTGTGTGTGTGTGTGTGTGTGTGTGTGTGTGTGTGTGACTGTTAGCAGAAAGGAATTCCACTTTCTGTGCAAAATCAGACAGATGTTTATGTAGCTGTGATTATGTCACCCATTTAGGGATTAGACTGTTGATAATGCATGGTAAGCAACTCTGATTATTTCATCATCATACTGTGACAAAACGATTCTTCCAGCATAAATACACATGTCTACGTCTCATGGTATGTTGTTGATGTGCTTGTTAGCTTCTAAATGAGACTATTTGCATAGTGTGTCCCCTTTGATGTCTATAATCAGTAGGATATTATATCAGTCTTTGGGGTTTTATGCGGTTTGGTTGTGGTAATACCATCACCATATGACACCAGATGACAGCTGTGGGCAGAGCCAAGCAGCACACAGCAGAGTAGGTTAAATTAGATTTCCACTGTCTCCCTGCCATCCATCTACAATATCCTTCAAATGGGCACAATCCCAGCATTAGCAGCTACAGCCTGTCCAAGCTCCTTTGCAAATGCACAAAATTGCTTTGGAGCGGAAGGGAAGAAGGGCCGAGGGCATGGGAAGCAAAGGAAGGACAATGAAGTAGGGCGAATGGAGGGTAGGGGGTTTAGAGTTTTGAGAGCCAGAGATTCTTTAAACACTATATAACAAACTAAAACATGTCAACTTAGGTCATCCCAGGGAGGGTCTCTGAGGCAAGTATATCACCACAGTGACACTGCATTAACATAAATATAACTTACAGATCTGTTGGGTTGCTTGAGAAAGACTGTAAGATGCATTCCTTTAAGTGGAGCCTTGGCAGTGGTTCCACTGCATTCTGACAGGGCAGGCGTGAGATGAATTACAATGAATACAAGCTCTCTCTGCAATCCGGATTAAGGATTCACTTAAGTGCCCATCCTGTTAGGCCCTTATGGCTCACACATCCATATTCTAAACAGATATGTCATCAGCTCATAGTACTGAAGAGGACAAGAGCCTCTAGTGAATCCAAATACCATACGTGGCCACATTTATGACAAAATTATGCCAAAGTGTTCATCCTGATTCCTCTACTAAATATAGTGATTATTTGTTTTAAGCATATATGTTTGCCTTCTACGCGTTGTTAATATTTCTCAACTTCTATAATGGGAAACACTGTGCTTTGACATTTAAAGTAGCAGCAACAATTATCTTTATCTCCAGTTTTAATATAAAATAAATATCACAATTTCATCAGTTCATAAGAGGAAACAGGTGCACTTCTCAGTTGGGTGTTCTGCTTCAAAAACGTCCATCACTCAGTCAGTCAGTCAGTTAGTTGAAATTAAAATTCACCAAATTGACTGAGACGTAAAGAGATTCTTTTGGGGGGGGTTTTATCACTGCAGTACTGCCATTTCCCTGAATTTGTTTTTGGGAAACAAACACATTACTACCTCATTACATGGCGGTTCAGCTAAAACCCATTTTGTGCCTTTTTAAAAATGTTAATTACAAGTATATTTACAGTTATAATTGAAGATGTTGACTTGACATTCTAAAATTATCTTGTTTGTGCCTCCCAACTGATGGTTACTGTTCCATAGGGATTGAATATAAACATTTACCAGCTTTAAAAAACAAGATATTAAGATGTATTTGCCTTTTAAAAGAACTTCTACTTGTTTGCCCTTACAAGATTAAAACCCAAAATATGTCCAGATATGTTTCTACATTCACAAGCTTTTACGCCTGTGCAAAGATGAGTCACTGTGCTTTCAGATGTTCTGATTGGTCAGGTATAACGGAACCACATCAGGGTTTTCAGGAGAATTGAAAATATGACTTTCAGTTTGCTAAATTACACCATTATTAATCATGGAAATGTCAAAACAATTTTCTAGAATTACATTTTACAGCTGTTCACTCTCACAACAGTGAAAACAATAAGCAGAGATTCTTCTCAATAATCCCCCATAGCAATAAACTACAAGACAATTAAAAAAAAACAACTAACAGCTAAATGAGACAAGATTAAATACTGCATAAAAACCCACATCAAATAGCATGATATGATGTAAAACAGGACATAAAAGAAATTAACTGTTGAGTACCTACCAGACAATTCCCTGAGCTCCGGAGCCAATGGGCTTTAAATTCTGATAACGTTTTAAAACTGTGAAGGTGGAGTCTCCCACTTCCACACTGTAGAACTGGTTGTCCACTTTGCTTTTGCTCATGTTGTAATGTTTGGCAATATATGACACATCCACTTGTTTTCCAAAACCCTGCATGAAGTAAACACACAAGAAATACTCTGTTAGTGACGATGAAAGTGATTTATGTGTTTACTTACCTGGCAAGTGATAAAACATTTGGAAGATTATATTAATATATATAATAATATATATATATATATATATATATATATATATATAATATATTAAAGATCCAGTGTGTAACATTTAGGAGGATCAACTGGCAGAAATGGAGTATGATATTCACAGGTATGTTTTAATTAATGTATAATCACCTGAATATAGGATCAGTTGTGTTTTCATTATTTTAGTGAGAAACATTTTTATCTACAGAAGCAGCGGGTCTCCTCCTATGGAACCCAACATGTTGAACTGCCATGTTTCTACAGTAGCCCAGGACAGACAAACCAAACACTGGCATTCCCAGGTCGTCGGACACGAGCAGTGTTCAACTTTCCTGCTAGATGGCACTAAATCCTACACACTGGTCCTTTAAGTTATTATTATTATTAAACCATTAGCCATCAATAAATCACTAAACCAATCAACAGTCAATATGTATTTAGCTGCTACTGTATTATTCACTGTCTGCATTTGATATGAGTCTATATTGGTGCTTTGTGTGTGTTAGGGAATAATTGGTAAAACTGGAAAGGTAGCAGGACAGGACATACAGTACAGTTGAGTTTACACTGTTTCCATGCAGAAATGTAAACTCTATAATAGCCATGTAATGACATTAGTGCCACTAATGTCTTTACTGTATTAACTAGACCAAAGACATCTTTTATGAACGTGCACACAATAATCAGGCTATAATTACTTGGGCAAGCAGTCGAACAAATGGTGCCACAACAAAAATATCAGTTAATTACAGACGGGGTAATTACAACACAGCTCACAGACCAAACAAAGCTGTGTATTATTGAGGAGCACAACTTCCACCAAACAAGATGAAAGATATATATTTGATGTAATACATTAAATCCGACATGACTTGCAAGTCATGCAAACCTATGATCTAATTATTGTAATACATTAAACTGCAGCCTGTATACAGCAGACAACCCATGCAAAGCTTCTTAATAATGTGAGCTACAGTGGAATAGCCTGTAGCAAACTACACAATCCTCACTCACACACTTGTGATATTAAATTACATCCCCACAAGAGTTTTGCATATATTTTACATTGACACTTTTACAACTGAGGAAGAGACAGGTTTCTGTTTGGAAGTCACTTCACTGTTTTGTCTTTACTTGAGATCTCAGTGTCAGATAAACATTTCAAGTACTGAACTAAATGGAAAATCAGGTCTACCTGAATTATTTTATTCATGCAAATTATCAACACAAGGCTGTCAACTCTTTACCTTCTGAAAAAACTAATTTTTCCACAGGATATTTACACTTGAGCTCCTAATCACAAGTGGAAACCATATTGTATTTCACATTTAAAATCTAACATGCTCCATTTTATCTTTATTCTGAAGTACGTAGTTAGAACAGTTAGTTAAAATGTTCTTGAGTTATCTCACTATTACACACAGAAACACAACAATACCACAACATATAGAGCAATGAAGGGGAAGTGGAAGTGAATGAATACTGTACCTTTTTTACCTGTATGGAACACACACCTGACAAAAGGCTATCTTCACATCCAGGATTGGTTGGCTGCAGTTATATAAGAAATGTCTGCTCATAAATACCTGCAAAGATACAAACAGAGGAGAGCCAGAGAGTCATGTCAGAGTGTGTGGGGTATGCACATGAGTTCAGCAATTAAACACATGTGTATGATGTGAAATGAACTGACCCCAAAACATATAAAGTGTAGTGGTAATGTAAATTCATCTACATCAGGATTTAAACAGTATCACTTGCAATGCATTAGATATAATAGATAACAGAGCAGTTTAATTTATCATGGCCTTTTTGAGTACAGAATTCTTCAACATGAGATGGAATAGTTGTTTTACACCTCTGCCGGTATGGACTTGAATTCTCCCAGAAAATGTCCTGCTGTTCTCTCCACTCTGTCCCCATCATTCTCAATAAAAGTGAGAAAAACAACAAGTCACCACTACCCCTCTATATACAAGAATTGGCCAATATATTGATTCTTCATCAGAGTGCAATATAGCGTGGCAACAATGACCAATGTCTTTGTGTTCCAAGGATGCTGGAATGACTTGGGATGATAAAAATGACCCGAATAGCTGTTGCTATCAGGAGTGAAAGATAATAGGTTTGTTGATGACTTCCTGGCAAGCTGAAGACTAATATTACTCTCAGGAATAGTATGACATTTTAGGAAACACACTTCCTTTCTTGCTGAGACTTACATAAGAAGATTGATACCAACTTCACTTTCCACTTTCATGTCGGTCTGTTAAATTTGAAGCTACCAGTTAGCTTAGCTTAGCTTAGCATAAAGACTGGAATCAGGGGAAACAACTAGCCTGGCTCTGTCAACGCTAACATAATCCACCTACAAGCTCGTCATTAACATGCTATATCTTCTTTGTTTAATTTGTAAAACAAATGGGTTTACAAAGGGTTATATGTCAGACTATTTCTGTTCCATACTGACAGAGCAGAGCCTCCAGGAAGTGACTTGATCAAACAAAGTAGATATAACATATTAAAGAGTTGGTAGGCAATTTCAGATCATGTCTTTATGCTAAGCTAAGCCAACCCGGCTGCTGGCTGTAGCTTTACATTTAACACACATACATGAGAATGGTATCAATCTTCTCATCTAATTTTTTAGCATGAAAGCCAATAGGTTTATTTCATAAAATGTCAAATTAGTCCTTTAAAAAGGTGAAAGCTTTAATATTTATCCACAGAGGGTGAAAACCTTAAAATTCCTCAGAACCCACATCAGCGAGGACCTCACCTGGTCTCACCACACCCACCAGCTTCTGAAAAAGCCCAGCAGAGACTATACTTCCTAAGAAGGCTGAGAAAATTTGGCATGGCAACCAAGATCCTCAGCAACTTCTATAGATGTACAGTCGAGAGCATCATCACCAGTTCAGTTACAGTGTGGCATGGCAGCTGCACTGCTCAGGACAGGAAGGCTCTCCAGCGTGTAATAAAAACTGCACAATTCATCTCTGGAGCAGCCTTCCCATCACTACAGGACATCTACACAACCAGGGTCATCAGGAGGGCCCACAACATCATAAAGGACAATTCCCACCCACAACACAGCCTCTTCACACTCCTGCCGTCAGGGAGGCGCTACAGGAGTGTGAAAGCAAGGACAAAAAGACAAACAGTTTCTACCACCAGGCCATCAGACTCCTAAACAGTATAGGATTGGTTTAAATATAGATTTGCATGTTTTCTGGAACTTTTTTGTTGGCAGATCTGTTCAAAACATTACAAGGGAGGAATAAAGAGGAAAGAAAGCTCTGAATGATATGGCTCCCACATTAAGCAGGATCGCCCACAATGACTCTGACTTCAAGGGTTTTCCAGGTAATGATGCTCCCAACATATGAATGTTCATGTCTTCTGAATAAATTGATATGTGACGTTAATGTTGGCATTGAAACTAATAGAAAAAACATTTCTGCAACAATTGTAACCGAATGGTTTGTTCTGTCCTCATGTTTCACAAAATCTAGAAATTCTAGTTTCTGGACACAAATGTATCACTTAGCTCCACCAGCCCTCCAATAATGTCACAGTCAAGGCTTTAGTGTCTCTGCTAAATCCTAAGGGAGTAAGACAGTGTTAAAAAAGAGATGTGGGACATAAAGGCGTGAGATTTCTGGTTTGCCCTATTTATCTTGACCTTTTACTTTAGACCCATGCAGTGTGACAGTACAAAGTGATGGCTGACATTCTTACTGTCTGCATTAACCACCGGATGTGCTGCATTTGTATGAGCCATATGTTATAGCAATGTGTACCCTCAAATGCATTTATGAACTGATTTACTACCCGCATTACTGGGGGAATCAGAATAATCATTCATTGAGTGAAATGAGAATAAAGTGGAATAAAAACATGAGAAGGAGAATAAATTAGGGAATGAGAAATAATGCATAAGGAATGGTACGGTTATGAAGAAAGAGGGATTTAGAAGTAATTTTTGTGCAGTTGCATTCCCTTAAACCGCTACACAAATTTCACATCACAGCTGTATGTTTGACATGACTAACATCACTGCCACCACATTAGCCTTCACAATATTTGTTATTAATCTAACAGGTCAACACTGAATAAGCACCGCCACCTAGCTATCTATATCAGTGCCTCTTTAGCCATCTGTGTACATAAGATATTAAACCTCTCACACAGCCAATCTTTTCCTCCCAGCAATAATTCAAACACCACCTGGATCATCTCTGAAAATGACAATAGGCTGCGTGGGCAAACGTACATAGCTTACTAGTTAGCGCTATATTGTGGATATTGTGGTGTTCTGTTTATTTTGCAATATAATCAAATTATATAAGACAACAAAAGTGTTAAAAATAGGTCATACTGCTGCTAAAATGTGAGCGGTTCGTTAAATGGCTGTTTTCTGATGAGATGCATTTTGATATCAGGATTAGCAACAAGCCTCCCACCACCAACAGGACAGATATATGGTAGCTACATATTTGTTTAGTAAGAAGGATAGAAAAACACTGATGAAGAGAAAAGAAAAACAGAATCATGATGTTATAGCTTTTAATTTCTGTGCTGAAAAACCAACTCATGATAATGCGGATGTGAGTCTTTTTATATTACCCTGATGGATTGTCTAAGATGTGACGTCAACCCTTTCGATGTCTGACCCAAAGATTTGGAGCAGAACCATAAAAATATGCAGCATCTTAACTGGATAAAGACTAAAAACAATTTACCTTGGAGCTGTCATTTTGGAACATGTGCAGCTTAGCAATAATGAGGTACGAAGTTGCATAACTTTCATAACATGAAGAAAAAAATGCTTTGTGTAATTATCAGGAACAGATAATCATGAAGATGCGGTGAAAATGACAAATCAAGTCACCCTACAGCTATTTATCCCCTTTGTGAAGCCGACAGCAAGTGAAACAGCAGATTCTGTGCTTGTCTGTTTAACCCTCTGACCAGATTCTGCTGATTGTAGTCATGGTTGAAATGCTGCTCTGGTTGCAGCTAAGAATACACTCAGCACCAGCCCAAATGTCCATATATCATTCTGACTACAATATGTCTCAACAGTGCAAGCCAATTCTAGATGATTGAGAGGTTGAATAAGCAAAAAAAATGGAAGACGTTTGAATTTCCCTTTTCTGCTCCAGCCTGATAAGGAGACAGTAGGGGAGAGTGGGGGAGTTCAAGGCATATACAAAAATATCAATAAATATTGTACTGAATATTATTCATTTTTTATTTTCCAATAAACTTCAAACTACAAAAAACACCCTAATATACAAGATATGGGCACGTTTTGTTATGTTTTTAACCACGTTTCAGCTGTGCATGCCTTGTCCTGCCAATAAGACAGTGATGGAGTGTCAACTGCGAGTTAAGTGTTTAGTGTGGTGAGGATCAGTTAGTACCAGGAGGGTGTGGTGTATGCTCGTAAGACAGCCACAGAGTAAAACTGTTGATCAACTTTAAGTTAATGAAGGAGTTACAAGAAATGAAAGCTGTGATAAAACTAACAGATGCAGCCAAACTATATATATATATATATATATACTTCCACAGATAGGGTTTGGTTGGAACTCAAATAGGGTTGAGTTTAGATATCATGAACATTGAGAAAATGGTAGCATCATCTTCTGCAAAATAAAAGACGAGAATCAGGGGAACGTATTACATAACTTTTGCATGATATAAGCATCAACCCCTATTTTCTCAAAGTTTTCCCTTCTGTATAATACTGCTCGAGGCTTTCTCAACAGTGTTGCTTAGCGTTGCATCAGAGTTTGGAAAGCAACAGTGCTTCTGCCCGACGTACAGGAGATCTGGACGCCTTGCAGTATAGATAAAATTTCCAATTTGTAGCAGTCAGTAAGATGTAAGCAGTGCTGACATATCCTTGACTGTTGATGTCTGATAGTGTATTTTGAATTTCTACCAGCCTGTGATCTCAAATTCAAACGGGTTTATGAGACAACTCTGAGCTTGTGAAACAGACCATAGTCTCTGTCTCTCTCTCTCTCGCAAACACGTTCAGACACAAACGTATTGCACAATTACAAAAGGCCAGGTCGGTTACACTGATGAGACAAATGTTATTAAGAAAAAAATGAAAGAAAGAAAGAAAGAAAGAAAGAAAGAAAGAAAGAAAGAAAGAAAGAAAGAAAGAAAAAGACAAATCAGAGAGTAGGTTTTAATTATCTTGAATGGGCTAATGCACATTACTGATACAGCAGACCATTAATCTCCAGTACTGGCCTTGCTGATGCTGGATTGTGCTGGTGTGTGTGCATGTGTGTGTGCTCTGCAGTTGTGGCTGGTCCTTGGTATTTGTATCCTCGGCATTCTGTTACATCCGCCCTCATGGGCACAACAATGCCTCAGGCAAACCAATGATCACTGCAGACTCGGGAGGAAGTGTCCCGTTGTATAGCAGTAGCTCTCAATCCCGACATGATCGACGGTAGGATACTTTTGGTTTTCTGTTTTACCTGCTTGTTTATCAAGGTGCATATCAGCCTCTGATCAGATGACTGGCGGACCAGGACTGAGAGCAACTCTTATTAAAAAT